GTTGTCATGGCTTCTTTGTATTTGTGGATTTATCCATCATACAGGCACATTCGAGCTTACTCTGGCCATCGAAATTCTGGACGAGCACGGATCATACTCTTCACAGCCGTTGCGTGCTTGCCATTTCAGTCAGTTCGACTCGCATACAACACAACATATTCATTTCGGGGAATTCCCAGTCTAGATCCCTATATGGGTAGCTTTATCTCGAAGTTGATCCTCATATTTGGAACGCAGCTCATTCTCGTCCTAAGTATGATTGGTGGTGGGTGGCTGAGCATGCCCTCAGACGCAAAGACATCCTCAAACGAGCCAGAACCGGAGGTAGAGAACGTCAATGACAGGGACTACCTCGGGTACCAAGGGCTCGGAGGCGTCGGCAACGGAAGAAAAGGAAGAACTTGACCGAGGATGATTTCAAGGTCTCTAGATTACGGGATGCCTGAATGTATTATGGATAACGACTGAAGGTGATACTGCCAAAGTCAGTCCTTGCTGGTCGAGGATACGACAAGTTCAATGCAATGCTTGGTTAGACTTTTCTGCATGTGACCAGGAGTCGAACTATGGATTATATGTTATTAAACAGCTCAAGGTAACAGATCAGACATTTCAATGTATGGGCAGGCTTGGACTCTCCGTGAGATTCTCTATTGCAATAGATACCGTCTTTGATCGGGAGCAATTAACGCAAGTTCTTTCACTTTCACATGCTTCGTTGCATTCAGACCTGCTTCGGTATCCACGCTTTGACTTCTCGCGTCACTTTCTACCTGATATGTCCGAGTTTCACACAATGTGGCATTTGTGAGATATTCAATTGACTGGATATCTAGTTGAGACCTAGAGCAATTGTTCTTGACGAGCTTTTAGGATCCAGGTATGGCTTTTCACCGATGCCAACCGCGCGGTGACCTACACGTTCGCCCAGGTTGTCGTAATCGTTCGTCGCACTGTGAAAAACACTACGATTATCCCAGATCGCTTGAAGCGGTTAGTCTTTTTCTTCATGTATCGAGATTATAAAAGGCTTACCAATATCATTTTGATTTTTCCACCTAAATCTTACTTGGAGATCGTGGTTTTCTTCAATTCTTTTCTTGAAAGTTTCCAAAAGTTCCCTGCTCTCACGGGCACTCAATTCATTAATGCGCTGAGGAAAATTTCCAATTGCGAAGATGGATTTCCAACCAGTGACTGGGTTGGTTCGCACAACTGGATGGACTGTCGTGAGTTCACGGCCGATATTTTCAGGGTTTCCTCGTGGTTCTTCGTAAATCTTGTGCTTATCAGGACGAGCTTCTGCAGCCTTTATGAATCCTTCTCCCCTGAACGTCGCCGTTAAGCCCTCGAAAAACCTTTGATACTGGTCGCTAAATCGATCATAGAGCTCGTAGCCTGATGCCCACAAAGTGTCGCCGCCTGACGATGGCAGCTGAGTCAGTCGTAAACTAGTGTAATCGGCCGGATAAGGTTCAAATTGAATGTCGCTATGCCACGAGGCAGCACCCCCCTTTCGGTCATCCCGGTCTTTGCGAAGATCATTACCAAATGCCCTGAAACCCGCCGACGATATGGTGCTAATTTCGTTGTCGTTGACTCCAAATTCAGAAGACCCGTTGAGAAGGGGGTGAATGTGCAATGTTGATTCCCTGGGCTTGCCGGAAAGTTCGCCTAGTCGCTGAACCAACGATTTTTGTAAGTCATCGGTCAGATTATCTTGTGCTCGAAAGAACACCACGCCTCTTTGAGAGACTAGAGAGAATGTTAGTAAAAAGCGGTGGCTTGACTTAGTATAGACAACTTGCTAGTAATCGCAAGATCGCGAATCAACTCGTCAGCGTTCTTGGCATTGAGAACGTCGTCGACCAGATTGACGGTCGGATATTCACGTCCAATTACAGGGGTCACCTCCTCGAACTTATGTTGATCAAGGGCTCCAGTAACGGACAGCGGCTCTGGATACCGTCCAGCCTCAAGCTTTGGTTCCAGTGCGGTGTTGGACTGGGTCACTGTAGTGGTTGCCATCGCGAAGCACAATGCCAGGGCTCGATTTGATATAGGTGTAAGCCAGTCAAAGTTAAATGAAACCGCAGAGGGACCTCGACTAGTAAGGTGACGGCAATGTATTCTATTTATCACTCATTCAACTGCATGCGACATCTCTTGCAGAACTCGGCTCGTTGAATGGAAGGTAACAAATCAAACCCTCCACGGCTATGTCTGGACGCGTCTTTGAATCACACAATATTTCATTTGAATTGCGGCATATGCAAGACATAGACCTCCTCTTGCGAAAGTCATCCCCTGAGTGGCTGCTAACGAGTAGTAGCTCGCTTAGCGTTTGAGGCCGCTCGGCATGTCGCAATCGTCTATCCTCAATTGGCTAATCTAAGGTCAAGTCGCCATTGTTGGGTTCTCGGCTGTCGCACGGTAGTCGGTGTCCGTGTCCACGAGGAAATCACGAATAATAGCCTTATCTGGCATCAACGGACTAATGGACTTGGGGCCAAGAATTCGAAACCACACCCACCAAAGGCTACATGTTAATAATGCGCTATTGATGTATGCCGTGAAGCTACAGGTGTTATAGAGCCTGCTGGCTTTGCTCTGATGGTTGAATAAACTGAACCGCTTCTGGCCAGCTGCGGGGGTGTGCCCCAAGAAGAGGTCACACAGGGTCGACCCATATATATTGCCTGGCAAAGCACCTCCAGAAAGGAGTCGAAGATTGATTGCAGATGAGTCATACTAATACAAGGACCAGAGCTTCTAACTAACGATCACAATTTTGCTCCCATGTCAATTATCCCATCAAATAAGCTCACGATCCTTTTTGCTATGCCCCAGCTCATTCCATATCCTCTCCCGCCAGCGCCGCCATATCCATAAATAACGTGCCGCCCGTTTTCAAGATGCTCTACCTCTGAGCGCACGTCTCCTTGTCTCCATAGACGCAGGCTAACGATATCTTGTACCACCTCAAACTCAGATATTGTCTGAACAAAGCCAGGGGAAGTAGTCTACTGATCGTTGAAGAATATCTGATCTTGTTTGACCCGGAATCCGTTCGGGGTTGTCTCGAGGTTCCTTAGTACCTCCTATGATAGTGCCTCCTCCCAAAGGGCGAGGAATCAAAAATGTCCACTAACCATTAAAATGTTGCCTGGTTACTGTTTGATGATATGTATTCTTTACTAAGACGGTCTGGCGCCTCATGATTGTCATATTTGAATCACAGTCGAGGTTCCTTCTAGAACAGCTGAAAACGATTGGCTCGAGATCGTTGCCGTTAAATTCGACGGCGGGGAAGGCGTTTTCGACTTTATCAAGACGTCGCTGGATGACTTTACCTCCACGACGGAGAAAGTTGGTCAACAACCGCAGTAAATGTGAACATTGACACAATATGTTTTGTATTCTCGACCCAGTTGACACCAGGTAGCAGCTCAGATTTCTCCATTACGCGGAACTCATCTTTTCCCTTCAAAAGATTTGGCCCAAACTAAGCTCAGTGAAATCTTTGCTAGGAGTTTCGATATAGTCTATGCCCTTGAAGATTTGAACGCCTGAATCGGGCGATGTCTTTGCGACACTTTTATAAACTAACGGTAATCAATTGCTTCTTGCTGTAATTGAGTATTATCTCCCGGAATAGGCCGATAGTGAGCATCAGCCCACAGGGATGCGTTCAGGAGGCGGCTGTGTTGCACCTTCCTTCGGCAAATGTAATCGATATGTAGTTCAGCGGCAATGACAGTTATTGGCCGTTCAGGATATCTCTTTTGTAATGCTCTCCAAATCTTGCCCTCCCTAAGCCAAGATAGCCCGCCGTCTATAAGCGCCAAAACGGCACTAAGAGGGCTCATTCAAATTAGGGGGCTCTGCAACCGAAAAACTAACAGTCAACTTCTCGCGAGGGCTTTGACAAGGAGTCTTTTTCGACCACTCGCATGTTGAGGTCAATATAAGGGGCCACTTTCCTGCTCTTATAAAGACGAAGTCGTCACTCCTACCTGCTATCCCACTTTTCACCCATCCGACCCATTTGCGCAGAGCCTTCCCCATCATGAGCACTCCTGGGAGCTAGCCTGACGAGAATTCGACTACAAATGAGCTTGGCGTCGATCTCACTTAATGCCTTGCTGGCAGTCTTACTCCTATGCGAGAATACCTTCTCGCTACTAGCCAAATAGCCCCAACGGCTTAGCAAGACATCTTGTGGCGAATTCGAACTACTGTGCCTATTGGCGATGCGCAAAATTCAAGCTGGACTTTGTCCGACTCGTGGTCAGCTGCACGCGCAGCCTGCGTCCGAATATCCTACAAGGATGGAGATGTAGCGACTATGTTCATGGCTTAGCGAATTAGTAGGTAGCTAGTTCGGAAAGCTCTGTGGCCTAGATCAGTCTACCCGCACTGCAGCACTGCTGACACGGCTAGAGGAGTGCCTTGTCTCGGGACGATCTCATTGGGCGGAATCTCGACAATGTGCCCAGCTACGGATGCGAATAGTACCATAATAGTCACTATTTATCGTGATCAATGTCTCGATGAATATCTATGAGTGATCTAGCTATGGACAGGTGCCTCGTCAGGCGATTTCAGGTAGCATACTCCTTGACTATATCTGGGCTTTGCCGCTTGGCGATTTGGCTTGTAATATAGTAACAATGGCTCGAGAATGGCTATGATCTCTCCGCGGTGTGGCTTTATACTTTGTCCAATGAATGTCTCATGGGACCGGTGCTTAAAATCATAGCTAATCTCCAATGTTTAAAAGGAATGTTTGTGGCGAAACTCCCTTCACCTTAGTAAGACCATGCCACCTAGCAGAAGCAATACGGATTGTCTGAAACTTGGCAGACCCATCGAGATCCTAGCCCCCAGTCTCTAAATATATATACTTGCGAAGGATGCTAGCTTGACATGATTTCCCCGTCCAAACCAAATCTTATTCAGCACAGTGACAGTCAACCCGCTCCATCGCTTTTGCCAATATGCCATCCAACGATGATAACTCTTCCGACTTCATCTACCTCAATAATGCTACGATCCAGAATGATACCCCTTCATCGATCGTCTGCATCGTTGTTGAGAATAAGCACGAGCACAAATACCCTCTCGGGGCTGGTCAGAAAGCCTTGTCCGTCACCGGCAATTTCACCAAAGTGAACATCAAGGGCGGAAGCAAGTACATCTTCCCCCAAAATTACATTGGCCAAATCTCGACTACCGTCAATATCACTTCCGAAGTTGAGCAGATCAACGCGGCCTTTGTGGATTCTAAAGGCAAGGCCGACAAGACTACCATGATTGAGGAGGATAACGAAAAGGAAGGCGGTGATAATAACGGAAAGGGGAACGAAACCGATGAAAGCGAGGTCGAGGACGATGAGCATTAATACAAGGATAGAGAACCTGAGAAGCTCAGATTCCAGCCAAACAAGCAGGATATTTGATCACAACGTTTACTGTAGGAGAACCCTATGGGTAAAGTTGCTACCCAACAGCTTCCCACGCTTTTTAAGCAATATCAGACCAGGTCATATCTCTCGGTGTACAGTGAACGTTCCAATGTGCTCTCTCCATATTGACACTACCGTCAACGGCCAAACCTCAATACGGGACTGGCTGTGGGCCAGCTGAGGCCAACTCTCCGTATGTCTGCATTGGTCAGCGTAACAACTTGTGCTGCAACCTGAGAACTCAGGATCTTTCGTAGCAGACTAAACACCATGGACTAAAGTGTACACCCGGAGCGAGGCGTGATCCCGTCCCGTCCCGTGCCGCAACGCCACTGATCAATTAAGCCTAGGGAACATTCCACGTTGCGAGCCACACTCGATCCAGCCGTGATCCTTTGCCTGTCCTTTGGCTGAGCCGAGTTTGGTACGAAGCAAGCCGAGGAAGTATGTCGTTTTCTTTCTTCATTCGCTACTTCACAATTAGTACACATCGATAGCATCTATGTTATTGGCTCCTTCTAAACTGATGCTCAGCTTGACCAAGCACGGCCTAACTCCCAACCGGTCTAGACTCAAAGAAGGTGGATGAATGATATGTCTACCGTTCTGAGACTCACCTACCTCCGGCAGTGGCCAGTTGGCTGCTAAGAGAATATGAACATTCTAACCTCTAGGCTGGAATATCGTAGGCTAATTGTTGCACTGAGCGCGGAAGGTACCTGGATTCGGAAATTTCAGCTAGCCACCGTCTAGAAACTGGGGCGATCCTATGCCGTGCGGTCTAGGTATTGAAAATATAGAGATCAGAGGCAGCCACAGTTTGCCACTGCATTATCACCTCCTCGCTATCCTCCATCCCTAAAGAGCGCTTATCGTTCTATGTCGCATTGGAGATGTGAAACATAGAGGCAGCGTGGCTGCAACTGTGGCTCTTTTCAGCCAGTCGGCTAAACCTTCGGGCTCGCGATTCGTCTATACCAGAAGCCAGAACCTTCAAAATTCGAAGGGGCGAAGTATCAGCTGCCTCGGAACTGCGTTGATCCAACCCAGAGACAAATAAGAAATTACCACTCCATCCAAGCATCCAATAGCCCACAGAGAACTGCTAGGTGTAGAGCCATGCAAGCCCCGCTGCGTTAGCCGGATATTTGAACACTGCTAATGCTGTGTAGCTATTATTTCTTATTCTCTAAAGCTCTAATAGCATCATAGCTAGCCCTCATTCCATCTGAGACAATGGCCATATCGCCTTTACCTACAATGAATCGAGCACCTAGGGTGTTTATAATCCACTTCAACACTTCTAGCAAGTGATTCAAGCCAGCAACACCGAAAAGCTTTCCGTGTTTCTCGCAGGCCATCCCGACTTTCTCCAGGGCCTGTTTCAATTTTGGGGTTTCCCAATCGCCAAGTATGCCAAGTTCGATTGAAAGATCAAACGTTCCGATAAGAATACCATCCACACCGTCGACGGCAGCGACGCCATCAATCTCATTGAGGCATTCTACCGCTTCACACATGACTATAGTCATAGAGCCACTCTGATCAAGATTAGGCATCATCAAGTCTTGCCCGAGCATAGCACAATTGAATTGCGGGAAGTGAGCTCCGCAACTTCGTCGTCCGACTGGAAGAAATTTTGTCGCTCTGACAAGTTTCTTGGCTCCCTCTAAGGATATGAAATGTCTTCAGTTACAATTGTGACGAAAAGTAAAGGATATAACACTAAACAACAGTAGATGACTTACCGATGCCGTCACAATGTGGAAAAACCACACCCATGGCACCATTGTCTAGAATCCGCTGAACGAACCCAGCGGCAACCAAGCAGCCATCTCTCCCAGAGCAGTCATGACCACGTAGCAAAGCACTCCAGTGACTGAGTACCCAATGAGAAGACCGACAGGACCGCATTGAGCAAGTCCTGATCCACTTCCTATAATCAGGCCGCTTCCGATCGCACCACCAAGGGCTAATCAGGCTATCTGTCAGTGACTTTAGAGGTAAGTAATCAGGATGTAAGGTAGTACCAATCATTGTGATGTGTCTGGACTTGAGCTGTCGATGCAAAGCTAGATGATCAACTTCTTCCAACTCTCCATTAGCTTCATCTCGTCCACTATGAATAGAGTCCCCTAACACGGCAGATGGTCCTTTTTCGATGTTTGAAGGGCTCATCGAGTCCATTACAGTTGTGTGTTGATTTATCGTCGACATTTGACTTTGTGTGGAAGAGGTTGGGAAGTTGAGAGTTATCAACTGAAGCAGGGTATACAGTTCATTTATTTCTGAATCTTGTCCGGTTGAAGTACACCACAATGGCGCCAAGTGGTTATTCGTGTGACAGAGATTTGAAAACCTCTAGTTCCATTTCGTCAAGCTCACTGATAAGTGATTAAACATTTCAAAATTCCTAACCATCGTGGCGGCTATGGTCTACTCTCCATGAGCGTGATTGACAAGGGAATATTGGTCGTAGTTGAAATTCGCTTTGTTCCGTTGCCTATTTTGGAATAAGCCAGTGAGGTCCGATCTCGGCTACGCTGATGAGAATTGGTAGGGTTCTCCACTGCATGTTCTACGACGATCTTGCTGTCTATTCAGGCTTTGGAGGACCAGTTATTGAAGCCTCGGAGGGCGACAGACTAGCCGAAGCCCTAGGATCCAAGAAGAAAAACCTCATCTTACAGAGCCATGGGATTCTTACAGCTGGCGGTACTGTTGCGAAGGCCGCCGCTCTCTTCACCGCTCTTGAGTGTGCATACCAGGACCAGTTACTGATCGATGCTGCTATGGTTAATGGCTTCACCAAGAGAATTGTTTCCCCCGAAGCTGCGAAGTACACCAAAGAAATAACTGGAAGTCCCGAAGTAGTTTACATGCAATTCGTGCCGGAGTATGGCTTACTTGTTAAAGAATGTGGGGAAGACTTTCTACAATAAAGCCATATGGATGGCATACAAATAGCAGTGGAATGACAATGTGATATTTTCTTAATATGTAGACTATGAATCTGTTTTCTTCAGGCAATTAATCATGGTATGCTTCGGGGTGTGGGCGGCGCAGCCTTCGACTTGGAAGAGCGAGCCTTCGGAATCTCTAGCGGATGGCCAGATATGCCCTATGCACAACACTTCATTTCCACGCCCTACACTTGTCATGTAAGCGCGCAATAACCTCCAATTCCGGCCCACTGTCCCTTCTCGCATCGAAATCCGCTTCTCGTCTCGATGCATCCCAAGGTTTCTCAATTGTGAGCAAATGTTGCAATTTAAACCCCCAAAGATGACTATCATACCAAAGGGTCTCCAGCCTGGAGAGACGATTGCTTTCGTCTCCCCATCGTTCCGCGTCAATAAGTTCCATCCGTTCGTCGTGGAACGCGCTAAAGTTGTCCTGGAGGCAAAGGGATACCCCGTGAAGATCTTTTGGACCGACGAAGACCCCAAGACCACGACGATTGCCCAGCACATCCTCAATCGCAAACAGGAGATCCTGGAGGCGTTTGCGGACCCGGAAGTCAGAGCCATCTGCTGCACTGTGGGTGGCACGACAGCGGACGAGCTCATACGGCCCTTTCTATACGATGAGGCGGCGGCGGATATCATCCGCAAGAACCCCAAGATATTCTTCGGATACTCTGATATCACCATTTTGCACTGGATCCTTTACCATCTGTCCGGGCTGCGGACCTTCTACGGGCCAGGTGTCGATCCGGAGCTGGGCGAAGCACCGGCGCCCATGACTTTTACGCTGGACAATCTACTCCGCGCAATTACCCATGATGATTCCACCGGAACGCCGCCTAGGCCCATTGGCCCCGTCGCTCGGTCGAAGGAGTACGCCCCATTGGCTCCGAATTACGCCCTGGAAAATGGGGCGAACACAAAGCCCAGAACACTGGCTCCAACCCCCGCCTGGCGCTGGATTCGGGGCGGCGCGTCCACAGGCCGCATTTTCGGCGGATGTCTCACTCTTGTTCTTCGATTGCATGGCGTAAGACAACTCGAGCCCGACTGGAGCGGGCGAGTGCTTTTCCTGGAGACTGCTAGTAAGTTATCTTTGAGACACTCTCTTCTTTATTATCTTTTGAACAGTCTCGGGTCATCTTCTGCTGTTGCCGTTCAAGCCTCTCTAGCGGGACTAAGTCGCTTTTCAACCACCACCAAATACACAGAAACTGACTAGTGATGATGCAGCGGCCGATGATGAGACAAAGGGCCTACCTCTCTATCGGATCCGACAATACATCGCTGACTTGATTGCGTATGGCGTGATGGATCAGATCAACGGACTGATATTTGGGCGCTTTTATGGGTACGACAGCCAGGAATCACAAGATGAGCTAGCAGGAGTCATTCACGGGCTGCTCTGCGATGGCGACATAGTAAAAAACAACAAGGCGTTTCCGATCTTGATGAATGTAGATATTGGGCACACCTCGCCATTGATTACGATTCCCATGGATGCGTTGGTTGGGCTGGATTCCGCTAAAGATGAGTTTTCGATACTAGAAGCCGGAATCCAGTGATATCTAGATAATAGTAGTCTTTGACTGACTCTCATTCTGGCCTATCTGCTGGTAAGGAAGTGATGTCTGTAGCCTCCCATAGCCGGAAATCGGTTTCTTCAGTTTGCCAGAGAATAATATATACCTGTGGCTGTGCTTTGCATTAGTGTGATGGCACGTGTATCCTTGTACGCGGGATCGCCCGCTGTACAATGTACAGCGGAACGCGGGCGGGCTGACAAGGCGTGTCTCAGTTCGCCCCATCACCAGCCCAGAGTCATTCTGCCTCATCGTCCATCAATCAACCTTTCACACTTCAGAGTCTCAGAATCCAGGGCTCAGCAGAGATGTGCTGCTGAGCTTGGACTATGAAGCATATCTTTGTTTAGTCATTTACTCTGAGAGATCTCGGCATATTCACGCGCAAACTGTGTTCGGTTTTGGCAACGACAATGGTTGTCTGTCTTGACCAACGCAAGGTGGTAGCGAACTCGACGAGGAAAGAGATTGCAGGGGAAGATGCAGTCAACTCAAGTGGTTTTTTACCCACAGATTTTCGTTTCTTTCCCCGTCTTCCGCTCGAATTGCAACGCGCAATCTGGAGAGAGTGTCTTCCTCATCGTATCGTTACTTTCTTCCCGGATTATCGTCACGCGATATTCGATGATTCGAAAACGGATACATGCCACGTCCCAAAAACACTCTACCTAAGAAGAACCTCGCCACCGCCTCTCATCGCGCAGGTGTGTCGTGAAGCACGCGTGGTGGCTTTGGAGCATGGAGGACTCTGCCATATAGATAGACGACGCGGGGGCCGGTACACGTTCCCGCCGATCTCTGCTTGGTTCGACAGCAGCACTGATATCATGATGCCATCAGGTGTACTTGCAGAAGTGTGCCCTGTGAAGACCCCAATAAATTCGCCGCACTCGAGTACTATAGCCTTCCCTTTCAAAAGGCTGCGCACGTCCAGTCACACCGCCTTTAAGCATCTAGGCAGAGAATGCAGGTGCTTCGGGGATCGTTTGGGAACAATAATCATAGTTCGCCATGTGAAGATCCATGCGACTCAACATAGTGTGCTTGATTCAGGTCTTTTTGGAATGTTCGGAGAAGAGACTATTGCTTTAGTTGACCTTCACGACCGTGAGAGACTGCTCAGCTTCTGCAAAATCGATCAACATCAAGAGAGGCCAGGCTCTCAACCTCGCATTCGAGAAGTATTGGAGGAGATAGAGCTCGATGACTCGCCCGGTGAAACCATGTTTGGCACGGGATTTGCTCGAATGATTCGTATAATCATCGAAGATCATTGGTTGGACCACCATATTTTTACTGCGCCGGCAGACGAGGACCGCCAGAGAGATCCATCCATCTATCCAGCGAATGCTGAGAGCACATTCGAACGGTATGATAGAAGTCACTGGTGGGTTCGAGACACATTGCAGAACCTAGTATCATTTGAGCCGAAGATCGCTGTCGAGCTTTGCAAACCTTCCCTGGAATTTATATAAAGTTTGTGTAGTTCAACTTCAAAGGAGTTAGGACACACGACAGGATTAAAAGGAGCTACATCTATTGATTGGGATGTATGTGATGTACTATCAATCTAAGCCCTAGTCCCTAGATAGATTAGCTATCATGACGTTGATACTGTGATCTTTCTCAATCGCCTCTCGTTTGTTCGACTTCATAAGAAGCCGCCATAACTGGGCTATGAAGCGGTACTGCTTGGCGTAGACAACCACTACTCTTTGGTGGCTTCAACCTCTAGAACATCCTCCTCTGTTCCGCGGGAGGCGTAAGCATCAACATGTGTTTTAGCAAAGTCGCGAGCAGGAATTCGCTTTTGGAAGAGAATATCCAACTCTTCGTACGTGCGGCCCTTGACCTCCGGAAGGCGAAAGAAAGCCCACACAAAGACGCAAAGTCCGGTTGAGCCCCAAAAGAAGCCAGTCCTCCCCCTAAGATTCCACTCAGTCGGGTTCCTAGATATCAATGTTAGTGACATTTGTCTTTGACATGGTGTGTCAAAATGAAAAAGCCGCTCTCACATCATATAAGCTTGCAGAACCTGGGAGACAATGTTGACGAGTTGATAGGCGTTACGAGCTAACACCACAGACAACGGTCGAAGACGGATCGACGAGGTTTCTGAGATGATACTGTACTGTAGAAATGGTCAGCAACAGATGAGTCCTTGCAAGGAATTAATCTCATACGGTGATAGGTCCGACAGTTAGGGAGTAGATGAAGAGCCAGAGTACGCAAAGTCCCCCGGAAGGCCAGAGACCCTTGTCGTGCGCAGATACATCGAGTATACCAATGATCATCAGAATGACAAAAAGACATCCCATTCCAGTGACATAAATTGGACGGCGGCCCCAATATGAAATTAACCACCAAGATCTAGAGCTAATGTCAGCCAGGTACTCGCTAGTAATCGAAATATTCTCACGTGAGTGTTCCAATGAATGCCATTCCTTTAGCGCCCAAACTTAGTTCAAAAGCTCGCGCAGTGGCCATGCCGGCAGTCGTGAAGAAGTATGTTGGGGTGTACGCAAAGCTGCTACCTGAGAGAATCTGGCCAGCAAAAGCAACCATGCAGATTTCACTACGTCGTATGTCGACACCACGGAAGCAATCAGCATATGTAGCTCCCTTGCTTACTTCAGATTCAATCTTAGTCGTATGGAGCATCATGGCCAGTTGCGCATTGATCTGTGCTTCAGTCTTGTCTCCGCTGAGTCTCTTGATTGACCTTTTTGCGTCTTCGAGACGATCGTGACGGACCAAATACCAAGGACTCTCAGGGGCGAGGTACGCAATAACCATGATCGGTGTGGGCCACAACTATCAAAATGTCAGTGTATTTCCTCGTAACATCGTGAGGTACACTTCAATCACTGACCCATTGCAACGCAAAGGGAATTTTGTAACCCATGGCGCCTTCAATACCCAAGCAGCCACGAAGAACTCCGGCAGCAATCAGCTGACCGATTGCCCAGCATAAGTTGACATAAGTGGTCATATACCCACGCAGGTTTGTCGGGCAAACCTCAGATGCTGAGTAGAACGATATCGTCAGCTTGAGACAGGATAACAATGGGGTGTCGACATACCATAGGCAGGGCTCAGAGTCGCGAATACGCCCCAGCACAACCCGCAAAGAACTTGACCAGCAACAAGCATTCCTGCATCCTTTGCGAAAAAGATCACAAAGATGAAGCAATTCAGCAATCCCATTGCACCTATCAAAACCCACCGGTATCCATATTTGGATGCGAAGTAACCATTCATCAAGCCGCCTACCAGCAACAAGGTGACTTGTTAGCCAATGAAACCTAGCCGAGCATTGTCTCACTTCGAACTGATAGATGTTACATACCAAAGATCGCACCGACTGTACTAGCCATAGAAAGGCCCGTCTGCCATGGCCCAGATACCTGATAGCCAACCTCGTCATTATACCAGCTACCGAATTTCTTCTGAAATTCTGGGTAGGCAAAGAAATTTCCCATCAGAATTGTGTCGTAGCTTTACTCGTAAGTTGCAGGCATGCTTTCTCAGACACCGATTTCACTTACCCTTCCATCACAATGGACATGGATATCAATAACGACCAGAACACCGCCTTGCGGTTCTCTCTGAGAGCCTGACCAAAAGTCTGCGCATGCTCCTCGTCCGTAGCTTGCTTGGCTTCTGCAAAGGCATTGCGGCCGAGTTTTTCTTCGAGCTCCTGGTCGGCGACCTTTTGCGCAGTCTTAATATGCATGTTGTCCGCCATGATCTCAAGGCTTCTACGATAATATTGTCTTCAAGGACGTCTTCTCGTGAATATCATTCACAGGCAGGAGACCCATATTCTACAGAAACTGGGGAAATGTTGATCATTACTTATAAGATTATCAAGTTCCCACATTGTGTATGCGGCCCGTCTCTCCGGATACTTCAGACTTGATCGTCCTTCCAACCCCCCGGACCCCCTTCTCTGGGGTAAAGTGGGATGAGGATGTGGAGAATGGGGAGAGCACAAGTGAGGAGGTGCCAAGAGTTGCGGATCCCCAGTCGGTCTATCTCACTCAGGGCTCCATTGCCAAGATAAGCACTTGCAGCAGGCGCTCAAATCATCGAGGAGAAAAGCGCGACATTATGGATCTGCACATGTCTTGGAACTTGGTTTTCGCGCTTGGCTGACCCGAGTGTATCCACCACCTACAGAGATTGAATTCAACACCTAGTGTCGATTGTTGGAGGCGTCCACGAGGCTTTTCAATGAATGCACTTTTTGTAAACTAGTAATGATAAATATAACAAAATAAGCTACATTATAGCCTAAATTCAACCTGGCTCATTTCGACGAGTTTCATGGTGTAGTGACACCAGAAAGCATCGAGCCTGTGCTATGATTGGCATTATCTGATCTATGCATGCCAATGAAACCGACAGTCTGACTACTGATTGATAAACAGTATTAAGTGTAATCTACTTGCAAAATGAAGGGAAAACGCTTCGATTGTGGTCTTGATTGGCTTGGTTTGGGCCGGGAGTGACTCTGGGACCTCGTATTGAAGGTCGGAGATGTGGAGGCACCGTGCTACCAGTTTCTATTAAAACGTTGAAATTCACTCAGGACCAATTATGGGAACCCTCGGGTACAGCTCCCGCTCCTTATTCACTCCTGTGACGTACCAAAAAAACTGGATCTGAGAGTCTTAATTCTGTAACTTGTCTAAAGGAATGCTATTATCTGGAAGAATCTAGATAGCTCGGGAGAAGTCGTATCTTCTTATATTTAGACAAAACACAAAATTCGGCTTTGTCATCAGTATATCCGATGGTTACAGAAGAGCTTATTTGATATCTTTTCTTCAATGAAGAAAATGCCCTTCTCTTGAAAGAAGTTCCAGTGTAAGACGGTGTAATGGGATCGAGAATCTTGATGCCTAGATGTAATAGAATAGGCTAGTCATAGGCGTGCACACGCCGATAGGTGGTTACATCCAGGCATCAACATTCTCCCCCAAAGTAATCTTTCTTCATGCAAGCAATTCATATTAAATAAGATGACCTCGCAATATGGGTAACAATGACTGGACAAAATTAGCGGCAACTCGGTGGTATGAACCGTGAGACAATCATGACATCGTCAAGCATTAAAACAAACTGGATCTCGGTAAAAACCACTTTACCAGCCAGTCCGTTACCACCGAACTCAACTCGATTTCCATTCAGAACAGATCGTCTACTTCTCCGAGCGCTGGTTCCTGAAGATCTTCAAAGCCTACATGTCTTGCGCACACAGCCTGAGGTCATGGCAAATAACCACCAGGGAAGGGTGGACAGAAACATAGAAGAGACAAAGCCGAACCTCGACCGATTCCTCTCCTCAAATGACGAGAAGACATTCATGTTCGCCATATGTCTGAAGGAAACAGGCGAGATGATCGGTATCGGCGGCTGTTCTGGGCTTGTCTCCGTTTTCGGATGGCCAGGGATTGCTTTCATGCTTCGTAGCGAGTTTTGGGGCCAAGGACTGGTTACCGAGTATGTTCATGCATTCATGGAGACTTGGTGGAAATTGCCTCGGACGGACGTGCATATTAATGTTGATCCGCGCTCCTTGTCTGGAAGTCATAGTGATGCACCAGTTACAGAGCAAATGACGGGGTTCGCACTTGACGAGTATGTTGCGAGAAAAGGAGTCTTCAAGAGGAGCGGCTTTGAAGAATTTATTTCATGGAAAGAACCTGACTTGAGAAATCCGGATGTCCAGGTGATGTTACGAGGCTATAGGCTGTTTAAACCGGAGAGCAAGTGAGTGAATGGAACAAGCTTGTATTCTTTTCAGTCTTTGAAAATGCTGTCCCTAGTAGCCAGCTGATTAAGACTATTTCGGTATCTTGTTGTATGGCTTCATTCAGAAGTTTGTAGGCAAGCTTTTCAACTATTAACAGCAAGTGTGTGTTTATGATTACCCTAATTGTCAGGGCCAAGTTTGGATACAGAAGATGAATATCTATTTCACTAGGATGCAATTTCCTGTATCATCTACATAAAATATCTAGGTTTCCGTTTTCCAGCCGACGCCGAACTCCGCAATATGCTTGATAGCGTGACACTGGAATCGTGCTAGTCATCCAGTGCCGCCTTAGCAGCCTTCTTCTGCTTCTTCAGCTTGGCTTTGCGCTCAGCAATCTCTTGGTCAAGCTTATCATCGTTGCTCTCCGGCAGCTTCTCTTTCTTTGAAGACTTCTCCTTCTTTTCCTTCTTTTCCTTCTTCTCGGTCTTCTCGGTCTTCTCGGACTTGTCGCTCTTTCGCTTCTTGGCTTGCGGCTCCTCCTTCTCTACCTCTTCCTCATCGTCAGCAGCGTCGAGTGACTTTCGTTTCTTGCCAATATTGGGCTTCTCCTTTTTAGCCTCAATGGCCTTCGCCTTCTCGGAACCATCTGCCAGAACATCCTTCTCAGCATCTAGCCACAGCTCATCTGTTTGCCAAATCGGGAGAGCCACAGTCTCGGGGCCCTTGATGAAGATGGATCTCAGATTGTCCTGTTTCTTAGGCACAAACCTCTTCACCAGCTCCGCTGCTACGGTCTGGATATTCGCAGACAGCTCCGCTGGCTTCATGCCTGCATAACCGACTCTTACAGATGTGTTTGTTGATGGAGAGAGATGTACCAGGGCGGCTCCAATAGCCCGTTGGATCTCAGCAGCTACTTCCGCAGCAGGACGGGCGTTCACATCGTCCTTGCTCTTCTCACGCTTCACCCTCTTTCCGTCGACCTTCTCCCGTGGCTTTTGGAGAACGACTGGGATGGGTCGCTTTATCGTGCTCTTGTAGAAGGTCTTGCCAAGCGCCTTAGGCAGCCTGTTGATGATTCGATCATCACCGAGGAAGATGTCGTGCTCTGAGAAGAGCTTGCGCTGAGCCTCATACTGCTTGAACTTGGCTTTGAGGTGGGTTAGATCGATGACACGGGTAATGCGCTTGCGCAGCTCAGCAGGAAACTCCTCCGAGGCAACAATGTTCTTGTAAGCGCGTTGGGGATCCGCAGTGATAAGGCATATCGTCGTCTCGGGATCGGTGTTCAAAGGGTGAGGCAGGACGATCTTGCCAGGCTGTAATCGATTCGAATCGAGAATGTGTCGCTTGGTAGTCAGAGCAAGCCAGACTGGTGTCTGAGCAATAATTTGACTCTGGTCCTCCTCCGTGTCATCAAGGAGGCTCTTCTTGGTCGCATTGGCTGATTTCTCCTTGGCGGCTTTTGCAATGTGCGCCAATAGTGCCTTAGACGCTTTCGAGGTCTGATCAGGTTAGTGATTGGCACCTCACCTTGATCTGGGGCAGAGAAGCTTACCTGTTCCGGGTCTACAGAGAATGCAGACACATCGTCCTTCCGACTTACTGCCTTAGAGCCCACCATGATTTCCAGGTTCTGTGGTTCAACTGGCTGCTTGGTGAGTCGGGAGAAGATTGACGGCTGGCGGGGTGAGCGATGTGCGAGGGAGCTGGAAATTTGTTTGCTGCCGATTTCAAAAAATTTCTGATAAGCGGACAAACTAGCGCCGCGATGCCGGTATCTTATCGCGATAAGACTGACTAAGCTGTCTCGATCTCTATAAGGGGAGGCGGGGAAGCAAGCAGTTCCCGCGCTTGTTGTGCCTGTATTATAATTATGCCTCAGAATATTATCTCTTCCAGATACGACGATACTCAATTGGAAAACTGCTGGTCGCGGTTGCTCTTTTGTAGGGTCTTTGTCGGAGGCCAAATGTCCTTTTTTTTTTCCTTGGGACGAGAGGCGGGGACCAAAGCCGTTCCATAGAGTGAAAACAGAAGTAGCAAAAACAGCAGCCTCTATCTAGTTTTGTAAGTAACTAAGGCGCCCGTGAACCTATTAGCCGCCATCTCAGAGGCGTGCTTTTGCCTGACCGGCGAGTGTGGATGACAACAATCAACCCCACTTCAACAAGTCACAGACGATATTTCTACTACGTTGTCCTTGTACGCCTGTCAAAGATGGAGCGATGCCCACAGGAAATTTACGATCTAATCGCCGCTCATGCGCAAGGTCTACCACGCGATGAATATCCAAAGGCTCAGAAGATTGCTGCGCTAGCGGGGATCTCAAGAGCCTGGCTACAGGCCGTCGAGAGCATATGCTTCCGAACCTTGAAGCTGAAAAGTACCGAACTTCACCAATTCCAAAGAATCGTGAGAGGCGCCCGCAGGCGATACATCCAAGTTATAAGATATCAGATTGTCTTACCGCCTTACGACTCTAGCTTACGACAGACTTTCGAGCGTCAGAGCGACCGTGATGTCAACGATGCGACATTCAGCGCGGCGATGTATGACCTCTTCGGGATATTGAGATCCTGGGAGAATGAAAGTCAAGACGAAGCAAAGCTTCCTCTTCAGCTTCACATTCACAAGATCTCCTCGCCAACGGACCGTAGTGCTTCGTGTGCACTCACGGAGGAGGAGCAGTCACTTCAGTCTGACCATTATGGGATGAGACATCGCTATTCCTATCTCAGTCTCCTGAATCCAGAGCATCTGCCTATTGTCCGGAGAATCCATGATTTGGCACTTTATTGGCCAGGACCGTACACTCGCAAGCTTGCACCACAAGCATTCATCGAAATTGCAGCTAGATTACCAAACCTCACCAGTATACACGGCCAGCTCACTGATGATGAAACCGGGTATCCGGCCCTTCGTCGCCACTATCGTGACAACCTAGTCGGCGCGATCGAGAACCACTCATTTCCCGAATCGCTCAGAGACCTAACTCTCGGTTTATTCCATGGGCCACTCTGGAATCAAAGCTGGCACCCAGCATGCATGGTATCCCGCACCAACGACCACGATCCTCTCAGTAGCACAGTGTGGGAGGCGACATGTCACAAAAAAAACCTAACCAGTCTCCATGTGGTCGGTGTAATAGATTCCACCTTGTTATGGCCAACCCACTTGCAGACTACTCTTTCTATCGAGCCTTTCTGGCAAAGACTTCGCACACTTCGCATCAACTTCGACATAACCACCCCTTCTGGTCACTGGTATTTCCGTGCTCGAAACAATGCACAGAGTTTGAGCACTGAATACACAGGACTTTCCAAAGCTCAGTCAGAAACTACAATGCCCCCAGGCTATACCTCGACAAAGGAAGAAGATGACAATGCCTCCCGGGAATACTTCTTAGGTGACGAATTGACATTTTCGGGACGATCACCCGTAGTCCTTTTTCGACTCGTACCTGATGAGTCGCTGCTGGTCCCGTTGATCAAGTCATTTGCACGGGCATGCGAGCAGATACCTCATCTAGAAAATGCACGGCTAGAGACTTTGTTATATGAAGAAGTGAAGGCTCACGGCCTGACAAGCAACCGCAGTTGCGAATGGGGAATATACTTCGCTGCTCCGGGCCATTCGTCTGACTGGCGGCGTTACCCCGAAGACTTACCTTATCCTGAGGAGGATCTTTCACGGCCAAGACTCACGTTCAACACGAGGGGTTGGTCACCAGATGACGACGTCCGGACGCTTTTGAGGCGTATCGGTAATTGCGGGACAGATCTGATCGAGAAACATCTCGACTTGTGGGAGACTATCTACAAACCGGAGGAGGTGGAGAGATTGAACGTGTGGCGACAACAAGATGAAATGAATCAACAGGCCAATATTACTGCAGGAGGACAGAATTAGACCAGCTGGGGAAGCATCTTTAAGGAGCAACGGAGCCTCGAGAAAGAAGTTGTTGATGTGAATTTGAATGGTGCGATAGCTCTATGTTCCATTTCTACATGAAATGCCTCTGTAAACTAGTAGGGACCTTAATCATGCTGACAACCTTGATAAAGGGAAGGCGACCAAAGCTTCCGACTCAAATTAGATATTTATAGATGTAGTGTAGAACGCGGCGAAATCTGAACACTACGTCAAGCGCCAACGCCAATCCACTCTCCGGCCTCGTTGTCAATTGCCTTGACAGGAGGCACCTCGGCAGCCCCGCCACCTTTCCCAGATCATCTGACCTTGTTCCGGTTTCCAGGCCAGTCTTTCTTACTATATATACATACCACTTTCAAGACATGGCGTTCCATTTCCGGCGTCACAAACTTTCCATATTCGGCAGCCTTTACACCAAGATTACACTCTCATAGGAAAACATGGCACCCCGTCCGCTCTGCCTTAATTAAGCTGCTGAGGCTGAACTAGTAGTTGGGTCGGTGATGACCAGCGAATCCTCGGTGTCATACGGTTTTTTTTTTCTTTCCCTTCCGTTGCCCCTTAAAGTTTTAGGTGTTCGCCCACCTGTGGAGAGGACGCTGGCGGTCCGCCCCGAATAATAGTAGCGTTGTAGCACTCAATTGAGGATCCTGATATGATTGTTTCGTATCCGAGTAATACGAGTAACAAAGTCTTTGAAGATCTTCGCAATTGCGAGGCTGCGGGCAAGGACGTTCAAAGTTGACCCGATGATTACTCCTAGGATGCAGGTAGGTGTGCAATCTGCGACCTACCATAAACGGCGACGCCACTCACACCCCTGAAGAAACGAAACGTCTTGTCTGCCTACAGCGATATTGATGTAGCCTCGGCGTGCATAAGTTCAATCTCCTCTTCAATTCTTGCCATTTCCATTGTATGTTTCCTTCTCAACATGTCAACCGTCGATGTGATTTAGAAATGGAGAAGTTGCCAATGCTTCCTCCAACGTCGCACGCGGACAAAGACGCGGGCCGTCGCAATCACTGGCCGCGGTCTCCTGTGGCAAATGTCCTCCTGATCATCGTCCTTGCACCTTTCTTGTTCTTCGTTGCTGGCAGCATCTTATCAGTGACAAGCATCTTGAGAATTTCAGCTTCAGAGGACTTGAGTTCCATCAAATTTGCCGAGAATGCTAGCCAGAACGACTTGTCCTCATTTGATTGGGAGTCTATCACGCCTACCAAGGCCATCGTCTACCAGCCGTGCTACGGCCGCTTTCGATGCGCCCGCCTGCTTCTTCCCATGGACTGGCTTGCCAATAGCACTTCAGAAACGCTATGGAACCACACCGTCGCCATTGCTATGATCAAGCTGCCCGCCAATGTCTCCTCTGTGCTAGACGCCCGCTACGGCGGCGAGGTGTACATCAACCCCGGCGGCCCTGGCGGATCCGGCGTCAGCATCGCGCAGAGAGGCGGCCCTCTCATCCAGTCCATTGTGTCGTCCGAGGATCCAGACGGCAAGGTATACGACGTAGTGTCGTTCGATCCACGGGGTGTGCGCTTTTCTACGCCGCGCATTAGCTGCTTTGACACGCTCGCCGATCAAACTGCCTGGTATGACCTGCACGCCACCTATGGCGGAGTCGACAGCGCGGACCGGGCGATGGCGACGTTGTGGGCGCGGGCTCATGCTCTGGGCGCCGCGTGCGACCCTGTCAGCCTCCCGGGCCAGGAGCCCAGAGACAGCGAGGATAATCTGCTCAAGTACCACGTCTCGACAACGGTTGTTGCACGGGATATCGTCGAGATCATTGAGCGGAGTGGCGAGCTGCGCGAGAAGCTGGCCCGTGAGGCACTCAGGTCAGCCCGGCTTTCTAGCATTGAACAAGAGGAGCAACTTCATGCGCTGAGATGGCGACGGGGCGAGGAGAAATTGCAATACTGGGGATTCAGCTACGGGTCTGTCCTCGGCGGGTTCTTCGCCACGCTATATCCGTCGCGCGTAGGTCGGATGGTCCTTGACGGCGGGGGAAACTATAACGACTGGATCTCAGGGGAGTGGAAGACATTTCTTGATCACACCGAACAGGGTTTGCGGTGGCTATATCGCGACTGCTACGCTGCTGGTGCCGGGAACTGTTCCCTGTACAATCCAGACGGGCCATACGTGCTCGAAGGTGCCGTGACAGACTTCCTCGACGAGCTCTACAACATGCCGATCCTCGTACCAGACGCAGCAGGCGGTCAACCCGACATCCTGACGTACGAGGACGTGATCACCGCTCTATTCATGTCCCTCTACAGCCCCTACACAGCCTTCGTCAACGTCGCCAACGCCCTCTCCTCCCTCATGCTCGACAGGAGCAACACCACCGCCGCGCGCGCCATCCTCTCCAAGCCCCGCGTCGGCGGCCTATGCGGCTCCAGCGACGCCTGCACGACCGACAAGTGCATCCTCGACCAGAACGCCCTCTCGCACATGGACGCCGAGATGGCCATCGGCTGCTCCGACGGGCCCGACCTGCGCGGCGAGACGCTCTCGGCCTTCGCGGGCCCCTTTGGCGGGCCGACGGCGCACCCGCTCCTGTTCGTCAGCAACGACGCCGACCCCGTGTCGCCGCGGGAGGGCGTCGCGGCGATGGCGGCGGCGTTTGAGGGCGCCGGGCTGATAAGGATAGAGAGCCCCGGGCATTGCAGCATCAGCACGCCGTCGAGCTGTGCGTTTGCGAACATCAGGGCGTATTTCCAGGGGGATGAGGGTCCCGCCGCGGAGACGGTCTGCGGTGTGGACTATCAGCCGTTCTTGGCCGGAGGTCGCACGCCCCGGCTGACGGGCGAAGCTTCTCACCTGCAGGACCTGGCGGCGGAGATTGTAGATGCGCAACTTGTTGAGAGGGGGTTTATATGAAGAGACTGCTCCTCCCTCGGAATTAAGGGGATCACTGGTAGACATAAGAAGTAGAGTCGAGACTGCTTGATGACAAGGACACGTGCAAATGGTTTGGATATAGAGAACAACTTTCTTGATTTGGGGAAAAATCGACATAACTCTACAAGCACACATCGTGCCTCAGCTTCCTCCCCTTTTATGCCCTGCGGCTTTGATATCTCCTACTCTCCTTACCATAATCGACAGCAGACCAGACAGGGGATATACGAGGAAAACATCAGATGCAAGCTAAGAAAAGCCCGTCACTGACTCCCTGCGCTATGCAAATAGACATACAAATGTGTGTAGAAAAAGGGGGTTCCTCAAAATATTAACAGGGTAATAGGAAGAGTTGATGGGGGGTATGGGACTATATGCAGACGATTCCGGAGACAAGGCAGATGGGCGAGTGCAAATCCTCCCCCTATGCATTCTTGGGACACTTGATTCATAGCTCGTAGGCATGTAGCGAAGTTAAGTGGATAGTAAGTTGGCGACATTGAAGATGGTGAATGGGTTTGGTATGGCGGAAGATGCCGCTGATGAAAGTAGTGGGTAGTGGTGGCGAGGTTACGGCGTCCTTGGTCTCTTCCAGTAATATTGCTATAAATCCAACTCCGTCAGCCTTTGTCCTCAATGTCATGACAAACCGCGTATTGTGTATTTGTCCGGCCGGAAACACCACACCACTTCCTTGCAAACACGAATTGAAGGCAGAGATACTTACCACATGGTGCTTCCTGCAATTTCGCAGGCTGGGCTTGCGCAGGCCGTCCACCACCGCCGCTCTTCGGTTGTCGTCCGTATCTGCCTCAGGGACATAGTAGTACTCGCTCTCTAGCGGCTTTCCGGCCGCGTCCTTGCCCTGGCGGGGAATGATACCAATACAGATCGTCGTCTCAATAATGCGACGCAGCACATCTTTGGTGAGATCCCTCTTTTCCTCGGCGGGGAGGTTGCTCATGATGGTAGTCAGGGGGTTGGACGACAGGCGCGAGAAGGCCAGCTGGTTGACGACGTGGTTGGTGATGGTCGGTACGTCGACCTTCTTCATGTCCTCGGCAATTGTGTCCTCGAGCTTGACGCTGCCTTGTCGAGGAGTCGTAGAGCCCGTTGACTCGGAGCCGGCAACGGCGGACAGTGCCCTTGACGCAGATGCGACGGTGATGGAGTCTGCGCTGCCGCTGAGCGATCTGCCTTTCTTAGGCGACTCTGTGGTGAAGGAGGCAAGGCGGTTATTGAGATTGGCTCCGAAAGGGCCAAAGGAGTGGATGATCGGGTCATTTTCCTCGTTGGGGTCATTCTCATCTTCAGACAGGGGTTCACTCAAGTCACTCGAGAAGCTGTTAGTGATCTCGGTCACGAAGCTGGCAGCAGCCTGCTCGTCCGAGTGCTTGGGCAGCTCCGGCTCCTCGTCCGCGCTCGCATCCTCGTAGATCTCGACGGCGACGCCATTGTCTGTGCTGTCCGGCAGCAGGTTCGACAGGTCGTTATTGCTGGAACCGGAGTGGTTCGCTGGCGTGGGCGACTCGGGCGATTTGATACGCGTCGTTCTCCTGAGCGGACTCGACTGCAGCAGCCCGGACGCGCCAGGGGCACCGCCGGCATTTCGAGCCGAGCGAGGCGAGTCGTCCCAGCTCGAGTCGGACAGATTCCCCAGCGCCTCGGCCCGGTCCTTCTTGGGCCAATTGACGAGCACCCGCGCATCCTGCACATCGATCATGATCTCTGCATTCTCCGTCTCGCTGGTGAAGGTGTCGCCCTTTGCCAACTCCCACGTCCGGCCCTGGCAGTGCAGCTTGAGACCGTTCCACCCATTGCATATGATCTCGACCTTGTTCGGCTCCAGCGGGTTGGAGGCGGCTATGTACCGGGCCTTGACGTGGACGCGGCTTATTAGACGGTTTGCGGAGAGCTGGTACTGGGATGAGTTGCTTGACCTGCCCATCAGCAGCGTCTCACCGTTCTCGTTGAGCTCAATTGAGGGCACGGCGGAGAGAGGAGCACGCTCGGACACGATGCTCTGTGTCCGCTGCAGACCAGGACGGGACTGGACGCGTGGCGGAGAGGAGGAGAGGATGCCGGTGCTGGAGGTCGGGACGGGCGTGGGATACTTGAGGTAGGCATTGGAGGCAACACCAGCGACGTTCTGGCGTTTTGAGGGCCTGGGCAGGGCCGGGGATGACGAGAGAGGCTCAAAGGCCGGCAGCAGTGAGGGCGCAGGACGCTTTGTGCCGGCCAGGTCTCGCGGCGAGGGCTCCAGGGCCTTGCTTCCCGGAGACGAGTCCATCATCATCACAGCAGCAGAAGACCAGCAGCAGCAGCAGCAGCAGCTTGCATGACCACCAAAGGATTAGATTGGAAGGATTGCGAGGGTGCAAGAGTAGAGGGCTTCGAGGTGTCAAGGTCAGGAAAGAGACTAGTAGGTCTCGTGTGTGGGAGATGGACCCAGAGTCGCGTCACCTGCAGGCTTTTTTCTTGGTGCAGCTGCGGCTACGTGATCGGATGGTGGGTTTCGCGTTTCTGATTCTGATATCAGCAGCAGGAGGCGCTCGCTCACATGCATGTAAGTGGGATGATGACAGTTGGAGATCAGAGCAGATCAGATGGCAGTAGCAAAAGTAAACAGACCAGACTGGACACTGCAGTTAGATGTTCAACAACCACGACTGACGGAGAGAGAGAAAAGGATGAATTAAAGATTGAACAAAGGTCACTTTGAAGGAGGCCAGGAGAGTAGGAGGAGTAAGGGTAGGTAGTATGGGCCGGGCAGAGGGTGGCCGGGGCGGAGGCATGCTAACTAAGGTAATAAGTACCAAGGCAGGTAACATAAGATGCAAGTCAAGTCAAGTCAAGTCACGGTCTCGTGTCTAGGTGGCTTGGTGTTGGAGACGCGATTTTGCTGCATGCTGGAGACGGTGGCCCGGGCTTTCGGTGCAGGACCGCGTTTTTGGCGTGGCGTTTCGTAGCACGTCTGCGAGCCTTAGCGAGCCAATCCGCCTCTCTCAGTGGCCCGTTCAGGGCCTGGATACCTAGGTAGCCCCTCCAGCAGCTTCCTAGTGTAGACTCCTAGTTCCCTCTCACCGCTCACTCTAATATGACGGAAGGGAGACAAAACGGCCGCGGCAGAAACACGCTCCACGACGGTGTAGAATTACGCTGTCTTGCTTGCCCTTTGATTACCCAGGTAGGTAGGTATGTATGGACTCTTGTCGGCATGGAATTCTTCACGAATAGCTAGTGCCCAATCCATATATTGGCATGATTATAGATAGCATCATAAAGGGGGAACTCAGTAACTGATTGCATTCGATCGATTGCCAGAGAATCCCCCCTCTTCCAGCCTCCTCATAATCATCATCATCCATCCATGCAATTCGCGTCTTCGCTGCTGCTGCTGCTGCTGCTGCTGGATCGCCCCGCCAGTCACGCTCAAGAGCGGCTTACTATGTAATTTAGCCGCCTACCCACCTTGCCCCAAGCTTCTCCTCCTTCCTACATGTACCCAGTGAGCCAGTGCTGTGCTTGGTAGTTAATATACCCTGCTTTTTTCGCGTCTTACACGCATCGCGACGAGGTACAAGATTGAGCTCCAGAGAGTGGATATAATATGCCACATTTAAAGGAGCCTGCTTTCGCTTCTCAAATTCAAGAATACCTATACCTTATAGGATGGGATGCTACCAGTAACACTCAACTCTTTCCAAGTATCTATCGAAATACATCTCTTATCTGCTATTTCACTGTCCTGGACGTTCATCATATGCTATGCGTGTCGCGATGCGGGGCAAGCCTTGACCTCGAACCCTTCATGCACGACTCAATCCGTCACTCTCTCGATCCCTAATGGAAGCTGTGTATGCTTTTAGTGAGCACGTTATATGCAGTCAATCGCCTCCGTTGACATTATACAATTTGACATGTCAGTCCATTTTGATATGGCTTTTTTCCTTCATCATCTCCTTAATCAGCAATGAATGCGGCAGGTCGGGTCCGATACCGTGCTTCACATACAATACAGGGGCATAAGCAGTGGGGCTCAACGGATCATTGAGACTCCAATCCTGCTTGCTTTGATAATTCCCATTCTCTCAATACACTGTAATCTTCCCAAGAGTCAATCCTATCGCAGCTTATCCAGCTGGACGTTCAGGGAACCAGCCTCGGCGTATATTAGTCCGTAATGGGCGCCACCATCTTCACCATCTAGGAGAGACAGATGCAGAGATGTAGTGCGGAACATGTCCCGTATACCTGGGTCTAGGAGATGCGCGACAGTTATCACCGCCAAGAGCTTTTGCGCCCTCCTCACAGTCTACTGCTCACAGTGTATTCTACGCGATGAGGCTACATGGCCACTACTCGTAGGGGCTCCAGACCGCCATGTGGCGCCCTGGATGCCATCGCCAGCTGGTCAGCCGCAGCCTCTTTGGGGACAGTCGCTTCGATCGGTGGCACGCACGACCCAGTCGCCGCCCTCGTGGCTTTGCGTCGCCTACTCGATAGAGCCTCTCTCAGTATCTTGGCAATGGGAATGACACCACCTCCACGATGGCCTCCTTGCAGAGTTTGTTGGTTTGAAGCTGGGCATTCTCATCTTGACGGTGAGGCTGGGGGTGTGATTCTTTGGGTGCGGCTGGAGGAGGTGAAAACGTGGGATGCAGGCATGGTGATATAAGAAAGCTATCGGCACTTCGGTTGATGCTATCGTCGATCCTGGGTAATCGTCAGTCACGTCATTAGAGACAAACATATTGAGAGCGTTCTGGCACGTTTCACGTCGATGTCGTCAATTGTCTGCAGCCATGGTGTTCCACATCTTGCCCATGCTGGCCATTGTAGCCGACCAACCAGGCATACAAAAGAAAAAGTATGCAGCCCTCCACTCGCTGGCCGGTCCCCGATCACAAGACTAACACCATTGCTCCAGACGAGAGAACAGCGCCCGTAGCACCGTGGCGGCAATCGCCGACCGGGCGCGAGAAGAGATGCAGGCCCTCCTGCGCGCCATCGCCGCCAAGGTCACGCACGCCTCGTACACCGAGTCGCCGGCGTCGCTCGGGTACGACGCCTGGACGGACGACAAGGCCGTGTTCCTGGTGACGACGCCCATCGCGTTCGGCGACGTCCAGCTGTCGCGCGGCATCCACGACGTGCTGGCGCGGCACGTGGGCATGAGCCTCAACTCAACAGCGTCAGCCACTGGGCGCTGTGCGTGGTCGACCGCGGCACGGGGACCTGCTACTGCTACGAGCTGATGAGCGACGAGAAGACGCTCAGCATGCTGGGCAAGAACATCGTGAGGGAACGCCTAGAGAAGGGGACAATTGGGCCACTCTTGTCGACGAGATGACGGAGAGATCATGTGGCGTGTTTCTTTGGGTGATACTGGTAGTACGATCTCTACAAGATGGACTGTGTAAAGGGGACATGATCCACGAGCTGCGGGTGCGCCTCAACGAGCTACCTTCGGATTTGAAGGATCTGTACGACGATATGATACGGAATCTCGAACCAGGATACAGACAACAGGCATCGGAATTATCCCAGCTCTTGCTCAAGGCGAATGAGGTGCAGACATCTGGAATATATCCATTGTTGCTTCAGGTTGCATTCACCAATGAAACCTCTGAGCAAATAACTTCGGTGCCAACGATGCCTCTTAGCGAGCATGACTGCCAAGAGAGATGCACTGACACCAATAATCGTATCCGTAGCCGGAGTTGCGGGCTTATCGAGAGTCGGCAGGTCAGAGCAAATCGTATTGACATCAAGACCAAGAAGGAAGTTTCCGTTGACTGCGTTGACTTCATCCACAGAACTGTGGTTGAATTCCTACGCCTACCAGAGGTCTGGTCCGAAATGATAGGCTTCACAGCCACGCCGAAATATGACCCATGTCCTCAGCTCTTCGGCTCCTGCGTCATGATGTGCAAGACTATGCCTCGGGTGCGAGGCATTGAGCCGGAAATCAACGTCTTATGGCACATGATGGATCGAGCACTCAACTATGCATCGATGGCGGAAGACTCAGGGAAACCAGTCCCGATCGCGCATTTGGAGGAACTAGATAAAGTCATGATATCACAATGGAATAACGTCTTGAAATGCTTCTCTCGGCTCGGGAAGTGTGATATCGACGGCCATTGAGCGAAGGGATACACCGTAGACCCGCTGAGACAGCATATGCTCACGCCGAACGACTTCGCCTCGGTCGCCCTATTCCACGGACTTGTGAATTTTCTTGGAAAAAACATAGAAGATGAGAACAAAATCAAGGGCATGAACACAACTCAAACCCTTGTGAATGCGACGCGGTACATCGGCGCCTCGCCATGGGACGACTCCAAGGCCCGTTCCAGGGGAAGTCTCACTAGCGAGGCGGCGCTTGATATCGACCGACGGTCAAAACTCCGGCCACGGTGGGCTGGCATTGCCATAAAACTCCTCCAGGCAGACGCAGACCCAAATGCACGCATTAATGGGGCTGTCAGTGCATGGAGTGTCATGCTTTCCTATGTGGCTTTGGCCGGCAAGCCACATATCAAACCTGTCTTGCACCGTGAAGTGGAGCGAAAAGGCTTTGCGAACGACTTCACGAGGCTCTTGGCCGAATATATCAAACATGGGGCAGACCTGTCGCTCAGCGCTACGCCAGATGGGCCTGAAGCTCGAGAAACAATCGACCAAGTTTTCTCTCAAGAATCCGGTACGTTGGAAGAGATTGATCCGTGGATGGATCAGCCTTCGGTGCTGTATAGCGCTCAGATTATGAAGCTGAAGGCTTATTTCAGGCGTCTGATGAAGGTCGATGATTCTTTACCCTAACATTGCAATGTGATCAGTGGATAGCGAGTGCTTTTACCTGTCACATGAAGCAAAGTGCACTTGAAAGAAAACTCTGGGCAAAGCACCGAGCTACTGGAAAAGGGTAATCATTCCTGTACTGCTTGAGGTTTTTATCAGCTGCGACGGGCTCAATAATACGCGAATGGTCGTAATTAGGTCATACTCATACGCTGCTATAGGATATTAGATCCCTTGAAGGCATCCGAAGGCCGAGGAAGTTGTCAAAAGATGACGGGAAATGCGGGCAATGCGGTGTGCTTGGAAAGGAGTTGTTTCGGCAATGGAGATTGCTTGGGAGCCTGGTTTGAGTCATGGCCACTTGTTTACCGGCAGTCCGGAGGGGACACAGCCCCGAGATCCAGGGTCTAGGATTCCCAAGAGACTAACAAACAAAATCGCGAGCTCACGTTGTGACGGTATACCCACTTCGGCTTGACAGCGACGCTAGAGGAACCAAGCCGTTCCTCCCAAGAGCCCCCGAATGCTGCTGAAGCCGACCCCGTGATCCTGATTTTCGGGACTTACAGGCGACTAACATGCAGTAGTCTAGGTCGCCAATTGAGTCCCGTTGATGTTTTCTCAAAGACCCTATTGTCAAGCTTTGGTGCCTCACCTGTTTTTGTTGCTGCTGGGAAGGTTATCGTAGGTAAACCTTGCCTCCCGCATCTGTTCATGACCGTGTGACAGACGCGTAGATAATGCCAGACGCAGCCCGTGGTCACCGATATCGCAGAACCTCGATGCTGATGTCGTGCCACCATGCCGCACTGACGCCTCACTGACGCCTCACGGGGAGCATCAAGTGACATGGGAGTCCAGCCAGCAGCTTCCCGAATAGACACACAGCCATGGTCCATCCCAGCCGCAGGGGCCGCATGTCCCTGATGGGCGCCCCCAAATGATGATCGTGAGTGCCCCCATTGCCACGCTCGGCTCACATGCTGGGCGGAAGGCGTGGGGAAGGTGCCATTGGCCAATTGCACTGTCGTGGGCCGTCCATGGGGCTAACCCGGCACCGCGTCGGCAACTGAAGTTGACATGACCGTGCCAAACGTCCCACTGTAATAAATGGCCTCGGGGCACGAGAAGGACGGAGAGAGAAACGCGGGAAGCTTCCGGCACAGCCGCAGGTAGGCAGGCCTCTTCTCGTTGGATCGAATTGTGACTGGAAGAGCGACGAAACCCTTTTAATAAGTAAACATCTATACTAGCCGGGTTTCCTGAGGACAGACCATGCCACCACCCAAAGTCGTACGTTGTACCAGGATAGCGACGGCCTATAGCGCTGTGTAAGCCGTGCATACATACATTCGGTATGGTGTTGTACTGTATGTGCTTACCTAGAGCCTAGGTAGGCATGCCTCCCCATCCTCGTGCCTGTACATAGTACTGTAGAACAATCGAGGCCCATTTCATTGCATTTCATTTCATTTCATTCGATTCGATTCGCTTCGCTTGGGCTGTTGCAGCTGGAGTGCTGTGAGGTAACATCACGCACGGCTACATCATACTAACGATACTAAACGGTGATCATTCAGTCACCCCGCAGCTCAATTGTAGGTTAACTACTTGACCCTTGTTAACGTTAGTCCTTATTACTGTGAGTTAACGTTAGTCCTTGTCCGATTCACTGCCCCGCGTTACCCTCAGTGATATCTTGGCCTTTTCTCGCTTCTCTCCCTCTGCCCTCTCCTACCTCCTACTGCGCCCGGCTCCAGAATTATTAGCATAGTGGTAGTAGGTAGAGCCGTGTCAGGGAACGCAGCGAATGCTGGAAACTTACCATTGGGCCTAGAATCAAACTGAATTAGTGGCAGTTTGCGTTGCGTGACGGCTGTCTCGTTATAGTTACGTCGAAGACGGAAGGTCCCCTCCTTTTACCTCATAGCTACCTCACACCTACACCTACCGTTACCCATAAATATTAACCCACCTTCCCCCAGAGACACACACCACACCTACCTGGTCTTCTCTTGACTCCACCAAATACACACCAACATAAACATACCAGTCGACACTTCAAACGATCAATCAATTAATCAAAAGACCCTAATTTGGATCACGATCAAACCATCATACATCTTCTTCTACAGCTATTAGCTACACCACGATTCTACTTACATCAAAACAACCTCCCTCCATCAGGGTACTCACTACTATCAGCATCTCTCCTCGTACTACCTAGCTACCTCTCTACCTCTCTACACACCTAATATTTCCATCCTTCAACAACACCAAAAAACAACAACACCCACAATGGCATCGTCCCAGCACCAGCAGCTCCCCCAGGCCATCAACACCGACCTCGACAAGGTCCTGACCGGCCCGGCCTCCCCGACCACCGAGCACTCGGCCCAGGAGGCGCAGCGCGCTATGAGCCGCACCGACAGCTGGACGCCCGCCTTCAACCGCCGCCAGAGCTGGAACCAGGAGGAGCACAAGCACGCCCAGCACATGTCCAAGATCGACGCCGTCAAGGAGGAGCCCGGCTTCAGCGAGCGCGACTGAACGGGCGGCTACACTGCACACTGCACACACACACCCACCCCCGCCGGTCGTCAAGCTCGCTCCTCCTCTCTCTTTTGTCGTGTTAGCACGTCACGGCAGGGATGGGACAGGCAGAGATCGGTAGAGACGAATGGAAACACCCAGCGTCCGAGCCAGATTGGAATTTTGCGTGTGGGAACGCCAGCCAGAGGAGATTGTCGACGGGAAACAGCAATACGAAATTTATTGGGAGACGGCGTCTTTTCACTCTGTTCTGTCTTTTTTTGTTTTGTTTTTGGTGCTGCAAACCTCAATGCCGCCATATTCGAGCGAATGGCCGGAAGCATTGGCACCCCCCTTGCGGGTGGTGCGAACTCCCCTCTCGCTTTCGACATGACCTGATGATGACGGACGATCCTGACGGGATGGATCGATAATGGACGCTGAGCATTATTTTGGACGCCGGAACAACAAAGGCAGCACAAGGGACCAGGGACAGTAAAATGGGTTTCCTGAAATACACGCACGCACGCATGGGCAGGAAATTGGACTGGTGGCTGGCTTTGTCGCCAAGCAAGGACTGTTTGCTTCCACTCTACTTCTCGAGAATGAGCGAGTTCACAGGGCAGAGTAGCATTCTTCATCGAGCAAAGCATTGCATTATCACACGCGCGAGAGCTTCTGATTATCACAAGAGTTCGAGGTTTGTTATTCGATAGCAAATTTGAGTAATAAAAAACATACTCCTATGGATTTCCCTTTCCATGCATGGTATATGTTGGTGCAGACGATAAGCCAGAGGTAAAAGCTAAAGAAGCGAGTGTTTTCCATGCCCTCAAAAGGGGCGAGCGATTCGCAATGCCGCCAGACGATGTTCGCGGGGTATGCCATACACAACGTAATTCAAAAGAGCCACCGATGATGATGTGAGGGGATGGTTCTTCCTCCATCCCGCGATGCGGAGGGGAATGCCGACCTGATGAAACCAATCATACAGGTCCGTCCCTTGTTGCCGACGGACAACCGCCTGGCTTTCCAGCAAATGAATACCCTAAAAACTCCGATTCCGATTCAAAAAAGCAAAATAAAAGATGAGGATGCCGTAAACTTCATGTCGCGTCAATGTCTTTTTAGAAGCCTGTCGGCCCTTTTCCGTCAATACCACCAGTTGTGAAGTACTCGCCAACGACGCCCAGGGCATAGCTGACGCCTGCGACCCACGTGGCGCCGACGATGAGCCTCTTGCCCATGCCGCTCTTCTTCCCCTTGGAGCGCGACTCGTCCTTCGGTCCGCTGAAGACGGGCTCTGTGCGACGCACCTCAATGTTTGACTGGAATCGAGCCTGTTGCGGTGTGGTCAGGTCGCTAACCGGGCCAAACGTGGTAAACCCGTTAGGAGTGCCGAAGTTGGGGCTCGCGCTGGAAATGTGTCGTGGGCTGCCGGTCATGTCGATTGGATTGACAGGAGTATAGTTTGCTCGCGCGGGCTCAGCGGAAGCAGATGTTGGGAGGAATTCAGCTTGAGGGAGCGAGGGCCGAACTTTTCGGAAGAGGAGGCCCTTTTCGTGGCCAGATTCGATCTCGAAGCCCTCCGCCTGCAGCTTCGCCAAGTAAGGGATATATTCGGACGAGTTTGATAGTCGAAGGAGAGCCTCAGTAGGCGGAAGCAGCTTATCCTTGTATTGAGTCATGTCAATTGGCTTACAAGTCATCTTACTGACCTCGACTCGTTTGATGGAAGGGATATAAACCAGGGTCGTATACTCAGCAAGCTCCTCTTCGACGATTTTAGGGGACGCGGCCGCTGCTTTTTCAGCAGAATCCTCGGCCATGACGACCTTGGCGGGCTCAGCACTGGCATCGGCGCTGCCATATGTCTTGATAAATGTTGGCCACGTTGGCTTGCCGTCGCACTCTTCGGCGTATGATGTCTCCAGACCCTGTGGCTCTGTCGAGTATGGATCGGTGGAAGCCTGCCGGCGCTCCCGTCTCGTCATCTTAGACTTTGAAGATGTTTGTCTGTCGAGCGCAGACTCGAGCTTCAGGGAAGATGCAGCCTCGAATGACTCGGGGACTGTGGCCCAGGTCTTTTGGAATTCTTCGGGGAAATCGCGCACATAATTGCCAGTCAGGGAACGCTTTGACTCTTGCGCCTGTAGTCTTGCTTTGGTCGACTTGATTGCAGAGATAGCCTCAAGATCTGCGGCATCAGATGTGATCTCGTGTCGAGACATGAGTGAATCCAGCATTTTGCGATAGTGGGTCTTCTCCTCTTGATTCTCGTTCTTCGGTACAAAAGTCTTTGCTGAGCTGGCAGAGCGGATATCACTTGCTCGGAGGAGGTCTAGGTCTTCTGCCTTCTCAGCTTCTGTTGCATCAAAGGACAATTTGTTTAATTTCTTCATGATCTCATGGCTGGATTCATCTGCCTGGTCCAATGCTGGCGAACCGAAGAATTGCGGTGCGTTGTAGTCGTTCTTGGCGTCAACCTCTTGAAGAGCGGCCTGGACTGGACATGACTGTGACAGTGGCTTGCCATCCGGCTCCTGGTACTCGACTGCTTCGTATTTCCCAAGCTCCGCTGTATCCTCGACTGCCTGCTCTGGAGTAGCTGGCTTACCATCTGGTTCGTTCCATCGGACAGCAGTGTATTGACCGATCTCAGATTGCGTGGGGGTCTCGCTATACTTCTCAGAGGTGATGGGTTGGCCATCAGGCTCATTCCACATCACAGCTCCATATCTGCTGAGCTCAGCAGAATCCACGATCTGCTCCTCGATACCGAGAGGCTTGCCATCAGGCTCGTTATACCTAACAGCAGTGTACTGGCTCAGCTCCGCGGCGTCTACTCCAGGCTCTGCATAGTCTAGAGGCTTTCCATCGGGCTCATTGTACCAGACAGCCTCGTACTTGTGGAGCTCTGGCGGCGCAGGCTCGGTTTCCCTGTAGCCGATAGGCTTGCCATCTGGCTCGTTGACCATCACTGGCTTGTACTTGTCCAAGTCCTCATACGGCTGTTCTGACTCCTCGATTGTTGTCTCGTTGACCATGACAGGTGTGTACTTGTCAAGATCCTCGTATTGTGGTGTTGACTCCTCAACAGAGGTCTCTTCCACCATGACTGGGGTGTACTTGTCTAGGTCTTCATATTTGGGCTCAGCTTCCTCAGTGATTTCGGTCTCCTTGACCATTACAGGTTTGTATTGGTCGAGGTCCTCGTATTGTGGCTGTGACTCCTCTACTGAAGCTGGCTCGTCCAAGACAGGTTTGTACTCGCCAAGGTCTTCATACTTGGGTGCCGTGTTCTCGGCAGCAGCGACTTCTGTATCACCAAAGGGCCTGTACTTGTGCAGGTCATTGTACTTGGGCGTCTCGGCAGACGCAGACCAGCTTTGGAAGAGAGTATCTACCTCCTTGCTGTTCTTGGCACTGGGACTGAGTGACTGGGAAGCAACAGTTGCATCGCTGTGCCAGGACACACCGCCGTGCGTAAAGCCAGTGAAGGTGCTGGCCTCGGATCCCGTAGCCGTGGACTCCGCAGAATGTTCGAGAACGTAAGCCTCGCTTTGGATCACCGGCTGACTGGCCGCGTCGTTGTCTTCTGATCGGTGATCGATCTTGACGTTGCGGTACCTCCGAAGTTCCTCTGCTGGGGGAGGGCCATCGTAGAAGATTGGGGCTTGTTCCTGAGCAGTCGAGGCAGCCGAAGACGAGAACTTGGATCGATAATCCTTGAATGTCTTGGCTGGGCTCTCTGCGCCCTCCTTCGGCACATTTGGAGCAGGGTGCTTTGCGACCTTCCGATTGGTGATCGGATCGATGACATAGTCACGGTGCAACTCCGAGGACTGGAAGCCATCACTACGATAAGTAGTCCGGAAGACCTCCTTCTTGGGTGCAGGTGAGCTGTGCTGCTGGGCCCAGTATTTGCGGATGTTCTGGAACGGGGTCGACCAATAATCGTACTCGTAGTCCTGCCTCCCAGGCTTGCTACGGAAGAATAGGTGTTCCATCGCACCCCGCTCAACATCTTCAATGTTCTGGCCCAGGCGTACACCGGCCTTGTTTTCCGGGGTATATGACTTGAAGCCTTCAACGTTGACGAAGCGGCCGCCGGGACGAGCGTCGCGTGAGGTCCAGTAGTGGTTAACCATGCGCTTCAGAGCGACTCTCGCGTCCTCAGCCATGGGGTGCTTCTCCCACGACATGCGCCGGTTGAGCGTGTCGGCACATTTGTGCTTGAGCATACGGTGCCGGCGGCGGATCTCGCGGTTGTAGTCAGGGTCTAGGTACGACGACCACATGCCGAAGCGGAAGCCGCGGGTCTGTTGTTGGCGGTGCCGGATGAGGACGGCATTGGAGGCGCCGAGGATTCTGACGGCGGACTGCCGGGTCTGGAGGGACCTCGCGCGCGAGGTGAGTTGCGGGACCGAGGTTAACATGGTGAAGAGGATCGAAGACTGCTCGCGAGCATAATACGCGGCCGTGGCTACCTGTTCTTGATGGACAGTTAGCGCAATTGCTTTGCATCTTGTGGATTGAGCATGTGATATGTGGCCATCTGCGGTCAGGGTGACGTGGATGCTCAACACAGTTACAAATCCGAGAGGGGAAGGAGGACGGTTCAGTCTTGGCTTACCATAGAACAAAGGAGAGACTGTGGTATCCTTGGAGGATGGAACTGTTGCATGAATGAAATGAGGATTGAATTGGATCTCGAACTACACAGTAGGACTCGAGGAGAGAATGTGAGTGTAAGAGTCAATACGCCGCCGTATACGTACAGACACGCGAGTATGACGGGAGGATGGAGTGATACGGTATCGATGACCAGCACAAGACGATGCAGATCGACTGATGGGTGAGTTGCACCGCCTACACACTACCGGGACTCCTCCTGCAGTCGAGAGGGCTGCCTGAGTGGTGGTTGGACGCGAGTTCACGGGATCACAACAGGAGGAAACTTAAGGGGGGAGGATGAGGAGTGAGTAAGGAGGGCGGAGGGTTGGTTATGAGGAGTGAGGGTCATGGATGGATGGGCGGATCGACGAAGACGACGACGACAGCGACCAACGACGACGGGTTCACTGTTAGTTTACTGCTACTACTAGGTTCCGTTTGCCTACGGTAGGCTGGCGAGTTACTTCCAGACGTTAGTATGCCACGGTACGTTAACTACGTACCGTACTGTACTTCAATGCAATGTAATGTAATGGATGGACGGACCGGCGGAGAGACTACTGAATAAGTGAGGGCATGTGAATGGCTGCAATGCCTCCTCCCCCCAGGCCTGCCACCTGGAACCTGGTCTGCTGGTGGGAAGCCAATAGCCAATCCAGTCAGCCAACAACGCCAATCAGTCGACTACTGCGTCGTAGCGAGTCACTGCATACTACTTTGTAACTATGTAGTAAACGAACGTGGAGGAGACGGAGGGGGAGACTCTGGAGAAGCACTCAAGTGGACCCCTGGCACGCGCCTCAGCCAACTGACGTGCCGGATTGAGCATGCGGGGTAACGTAGAGATAAGGCCTGAAACCCCCGAATCAACCCGAGGCTCACAATGCTCCCAAGGTTAGCGGGAACGTGGATCTGCGCTGGAATCCTCGCTCTTACTCGCTCCTCCTCGCTCCCCTTGCGCGCCGCTGATTGGGAGGCGGCCGGGATCTAGCGCCTTAGCGTCGTGTTGCGAGCCCTGCGTTAGGCGAGTACGGCACAATCCCTGCCTGCCCTGCATTCCTACTCGCCCTGAATCTCCCCTAACGGAGCTGATTGCTCGTGTGCACGCTGTCTCTCGCTAACGAAAAGCTGTCCTACGTCATCGCACATGGCTTTGTTCGTCTCCTCCAATGACCACGCTCGGTGGCGTATCCCCTAAGACTGATGTTTTTGGGTACAGCATTCAAGCCTCTTCAGCCTCGCAAAACCAAAAGTCCAGAACTAAAAAGGACGTCACGTGCGAGGCTGAGTGACTTGACTCAGCCCCACCACTCCATGACGCGGGGCAGGAGCCATGAGTGATGAATGGAGGGTCAAAAAATCTCAGGAACAGCTTGCCAGCGTTGGAGCTCCATTTCGGCCTGAGTCACTCGCCATTGTATCGCGGCTGTCAGCCTCGCCTCCCAAGAACACCTGCCTTTTTGTTAGATGTAAATTTTGATGAGCTACTATGTAATCTCATAGGCCGAGTATTTCTGCTATTCACTCCTTTCCTCTCATCTGTTTTACTTCATTTGGGGGCCAGTCTTTGCATGCTGAAGTGTCGAGCAAAACATCCCACATCGACCCCCCCCACCACTTACTGCTGTCTTCGACTACGAGATCCAGAGGCCGTCGACCATGAGCAGATCGCAAGGTAAAGCTCGGGCAGTCAGCAGCAAGGGCTTTGGCAGCAGCCCTGCCCGTGGCGCTTTCGGTGGTTTCTCTACCAGCTCCAGCGGCAGCAGCCTCTCCTACCTCGCCGAACCGCCCGACTTCTCCTCCATATCCGATGCCAATGTGGTTGTTTCTTTCAAGAACCTCCTGAAGAAGGACAGCACAACAAAGGCAAAGGCTCTGGAAGACTTGGTTGCATACACACAGGCACATCCGTACGAGCAGAACGGAGGTACGGAAGAGGCGGTCTTGGAGGCGTGGGTAGGTGCACTCCTGTTGACTGCACGCTCTCGCGCACAGATAGTAATGTATAATATAGGTACAATTATATCCTCGTACTTCAATAGACAATTCCCGTCGAGTCCGCGAACTGTCCCACAATCTCCAACTCGAGCTGGTGAAATCGGCGCGAAAGCGCATGGAGAGGCGTATCCCGAGGATTGTAGGCTCGTGGCTAGCTGGCACCTTTGACAAAGATCGCGTTGTCGCGCGGGCTGCTAGTGATGGGCTCTCGTCATTCCTCAACACGGACGAAAAATTCTTGCAGTTCTGGAAGAGATGCCAGACGCAGATCCTGGATTTTGCCATCGAGGCTATACAAGAGACACCCGACACACTGAGCGACGAGCGCTCAACTACCGCGGATGACGCCGAGGCAAAATACCTTCGAGTCGTTGGTGGCAGTCTATCTCTGGTTTTGGGACTGCTACAAAGGCTGCAGGATACTGATTTGGAGGTTGCGAGTGACAAGTATGACGAGTTCTTCTCAGTCGAAGCAGTCTGGGCCTGCTCAACAGCAAATGATGCCCTTGTTAGGCGAACGGTGTTCCAACTATTATGGACATGTCTAGACAGGCGAGACGAGTCTTTGAAATCACAGCTCCCTCGTTTGAGCAAAATTCTGATCTCGGAGGGTCTTAAAACCAGCCACGAGGGCTCGGCGATGGAGTATGTCACAGTTCTGACAAAACTCACAGAAAAGCATCCTCAAGTTTGGGGAACAAAGAAGTCCCCCTTCGCAAGACTATCAGGGTTTCTGGAAAGAGGATCGCAGTTTAGCTCGCCGAACTTTTGGGACCGCGTACAAAAGCTGCTCGAGGCTTTGCCATCGGATACTGTTACCTTTGAAGAAGCAAGAGACACACTGCGGGCTTTAAGAGCAGGTATTACCATTCGACCACAGCAGCAACAGATTGCTCTCAAGGCCTGGACTAGCTATTTGAATGCTTTTGGCAGATTTCTTCGTATACTTACCCCGGAGACCTCTCGGGCTAAACTTGCTCAAGAAAGCCTATTTCCCCTAACGGATCATTACTTATATCCTCAAGAGACGTCTAAATGGTCAGTGGCCGCACAGACAACCATTCTCTCCAAAGCCTATTTCATTGCAATACAATCAGGGTTCGCAGACGTGCTGGCTGCCCTGGAACAAGAATGGAGCAGACTAGCAGATGCATTGATCATGCATCTGTCAAACTCCCTTCCCGAAGTATCGAAAGACTTTATCGATTCTCAACGGACCGTGGCTGGTGAGGGTCATAAGTGGTTTACACTGGTCGGGCTCATCCGTGGCGACTTGAGCAAAGTCGCCGCACTGAATGCCCCTAACACCCAAGATGTGACTCTACAGCCATCCATCAAGATTCTTTCGAGTGCTGTGGATCTTCTCAAGAGGCGTAACTACAAACCACTCGGTGCCTCTATGCTATTAGATTCTGCCTTAGAGTTCGCTCCTCACATCTTCCAGGGAGAAACCGCATTACTACTTCCCTCACTATTTCCCTCGTCAGAAATCTCAACCTTGCTATCTTCCCCGTCAGTACCCTATTTATTATCATGCATCAATCGCGTCAGTGCATTAAACCACGAATTATATGAATCGATGTGGACAACTATCATCAAGGCGCTCCTCGAACAACAGAAGGATCCCAATGTTGTGGGCGGGATCTCCAGATTGATTTCGCAAGCGCCCGCTAGTTCCCTGGCGCAGAGCGACGCGGACCTGCAAGGATACCTTGTTAAGGCATGCATAGAGTCGGCACAAGGGCAGGATGAGACTTTCGGGCTCTTAGAAGCAACCTTCGCCTGGGGTAGTCTAACAGAGGACAATGCTAAGCAGGTCGCGAAAGTCGTCATCGACCTATTGGATAATAATGATCCGACCTCTGAGGCGAGTTTCAGAGCTATCGAGGCAATATTATCAAGGCAACCGGGCATTGTCATGTCAGACGAGGAGTTACATTTGAGTCTTGTTGCAAAACTTCTGGCAATGACTGAGGTTTCAGATTCAAATATCTCAGCAAAAGCTACAGACCTTCGATCTCTCATGGATAAGCAAGTAAATGGCCAACCTCCTCTCCTGAATATAATCGAAGACAATTTAGAGCAAGCGAGCTCAAAATCTTTGGAGTGAGTTATTGTAGTCCAGGTCGTGATTTGCCCCTATTAACAGCACTACAGGATTGAGACACTCGTGCAGCAAGCGGTTAGCATGCACGAAGCTGGTGCTGTCTCGCCAGATCAACTTTTCCCCAATACGAACGTCTGGATGAGAGAGATCACAAGCTACCTTCAGACCGGACTAAATCCGTCGCTGTCTCTGACGAGCAACCTAGGGGGTGCTTACTATTTACCGAGAGCTTCAGAGGCAGCAAATGACTCACGAAATCAACGAGATCGAAATGGCGCATCTGTACCGGCACGAATGGCAATATATACGTCCAAGTTGCTATCGTCAGGAATTGACTTGTCGTCACTACCAAAAAGCTTTCAAGTGGAGCTGTTATATCTCCTCAACTTGGTTGCTGAAATGGCATCCGATCAACTCGCACTAATGAACGAACAAGGGTTATGGATGAGCCTTGCACAGCCTGAATTGTTAACAAGCATTGAAGACCTTGTTTCGACGACTAGAAAATCTATGAATGCCATGGTTGTCGAAGCGAAGGACTGGCGACCCGGAAGTGGCTCATCCGTCTTGGACGAATTGATCTCGACCATGCTCCGGGAATCTAAGGAGACTACACCATTGGGTCTCTACAGTGCTAAAGCCTTAAGTGAAATTCTGCAGTCTTTCTCGGAAACTCATGGACTTCGCCCTGAAGACGAAGAATGGGTTGCCAAGCTCGACGTTATGAAAGCAACCTCTACTACAATATTCGGTGCTATTGCTATCCTCATCGGATACGGAGAGACGATCTCATCCTCTAAAACAGTAACCAACCTTTTAAACAGACTTGTCAGTGATGTGGCTGGCGCGAAACCGCAAGCAGAGAAGACTATGATCACGCTAGTGCTACTCAATGCTTGCATGTCAATTTATGACCTAGGCGAGCTTCCCGTTGCCAACAATAGATTAGTATTCGCTGTCAAGCAGATCACGGCCTGGTTCGAAGATCCGGATTCTGTGGATCATAATCTGGCCGCTGAAGCGTGCCGGAGTCTCCAGCGGCTCCTTCCGTGCATCAAGGATGTATACGGTCCCTACTGGGAGCGGAGCATTGAGTTCTCGATTCACCTGTGGGACCAAGCCGAGAATGACCCTCCCGACACGCGATTGGCCTACTTGCACGCTTCATTGAAACTGGTTTCTGGCCTGGAAGCTATACAGGAGCCAAACGATGACCTCGAGGATGCAATCAAATCGTTTGCAGAGGCCAAGTCGCATGCTTTGCTTGAGTTGCTGAAGCTCCCAAGATATGGCAGCTCACAGCCTGCAGACATCCTTGACGCACTGCTTTGTCGATTGGCGGAGAAGATACCCCTGCAGCATGCCAGCGATGTCTCAGACCTCTACGGAGTGGTGGCATCTGAGTCTCGAGATATTCAGACCGCAGCTTTCAGCATAATTCATCGCGCCTTACCTGCTGCTCAAGAACAAATCTCTTTGGATGTCTTACTCGAAAAGAAAGGTGAGCCCCTTTCGATCCCTCTGTATTTCTTAAAATGTTGACTTCAGAACCTCTAGATGCACGCCTACCTGACGAGCTTCTGTCACTCCTCCTCGATGCCCCTACTTTAGAAGCCTACCCTGACGATGTCCTCGTGCATTTCCCCACTCCAGTGCGATCATATCTTCTATCGTGGCACCTTATCTTTGATGCCTATAGCAAAGCTTCCTACAAAGTGCGCAATGATTACACGGAGAATCTGAAGACTGCCAGCTATATCGGAGCGCTGCTTGAGTTCACTTTCGACGTTCTGGGTCATTCAGCATCTCATCCCATTAACCTAGACAAAGAAGGCTTCACTGTTGACTTCATTCAGTCATACGATGTCAAGCTTGGAGATTCTGAGCCTGAGGAGAGGAACATGCACTGGCTTCTTATCCATCTCTACTACCTTACCCTGAAGTACATCCCAGGTCTCTTCAGATCGTGGTACATTGACTGCCGGTCAAAACAGACCAAGATTGCCGTTGAGTCCTGGATGACGAGATATTTCTCGCCCATCATTATATCGGAGACGTTGGATGAGGTAGATACCTGGTCACAGTCGCAGGAAGCCCCGGCCGATGATGAGAAGGAGCTTCTGGTGAAAGTCAGCCGCGCTGGCAAGGAAGTCACAGCCGGCTACGAGGTAGATGAGCTGCAAGCTTCGATCGCCATCAAGATACCGCCTAGTTATCCGCTTGAGGGTGTGACCGTTGTCGGCGTGAATAGGGTGGCCGTGAACGAAAAGAAGTGGCAGAGTTGGTTGATGACCACTCAGGGGGTGATCACCTTTTCCGTAAGCCGACTGCGCCCTCCACCATATGACTTACGGTCTTGCTAACTTTGTTATCAGAACGGAAGCATTATTGACGGTCTCACCACGTTCCGCCGTAATGTGATAGGAGCACTAAAGGGGCAGAGCGAGTGCGCTATTTGCTACTCCATTATCTCGACTGACAAGAAGATGCCCGACAAGCGTTGTCAGACCTGCAAGAACTTGTTCCATCGCACTTGCCTGTACAAGTGGTTCCAGACGAGCAATCAGAACACCTGTCCGCTATGCAGAAACCCGATTGACTATCTGGGAGCTGATACTAAGTCGAGGAGGGGCGGTCCGGCATGATAGCTAAATCTAGATACCGAAAATGAATTAGAAGCTTCAAGATCACCGTTGAGGCATATTACAATATTCATGTTGCTCAAGTGACTTTTGTGCTGCTTTCAAATTTTCTTACTAGACATGATCAAACAGAGCATTTCGTAACGTGTACTTGGCAAGGGCGCGCCAAGCTGTCGGTATAATAGAGTGTACCAACGGTTGAATGCTATCATGTGCGCCACCTTCTGACAAGAAAGAATATTATATTCCGGCTGAGTGTCTAATCTTGTTGCTCTAGAAAGCTTAAGGCTAGGATGGGTAAGCACTTACATTAGCGACCTTGCTTGTTACTAATGTAATCCTCTTTGAAGGAGTCGCGCACATACAGGTCTCACACATCGCAAGCTCTACAGCACAGCTGAGATTACCATTAAAGAGGCGGCTCCTACCGATCGGCAGTTCCACGTGTTGAAACAGCTGCATGTTCTCAATAAGCTTCAAACTGTGCCGTAGATCGGCAGCATAAGCCGTTCGGATGCGCGCGTCGGCGGCGTCTTACATCTGCTAGCTCATAGGGCAGGGCCGCCGCGTATGACAGATTCTGCAGCTTACAAAGAGCTACTCGGTACCATTTATCTCTTGAGCTGGTATAGCGCATAGTACATATCGGCCTAATGCTTGTCAGCCCTGTAGGATTCTTTGGCAGCACACATGAGCTCTTTCTCGCGCAATATGTAACCTGACCGACCTCTCGTGTCGATAGTTACCGGAACATCGCCTATTCCCAGATTGCGTACTCCTACAGCAGTCAAGAAGTTTTGAGACATGGGAGTGCTTCCAGCTGGATGGTTCAGAAATCATTGTATAGACTATCGCCGTCTACGCACGAAGGAGTCGTTCCCACAAATGTGGCTGATTCGGGCATTCCCGAAAGACGCGAGCCATTCAACCCCCATGACGAGACTGTACAAGTCAACTTCACTTTGTGATTCACATGTTCGTCGATAACCGAACTGATAGGACTAAGCGAGACCGTAGCGCGAATCCTTCGTGTGTATTTCCAACTTGGCATATCCCTACCGCTATGCCGGCCGGGACGGTTGACAGGGGACATCGTGGAGATAGGATTCAGAAGAACCATAGTCATGCAGAAAATATGACGCGAATAGGTGCTGATCGAGATAGGGGCTGCAGCTTTGGCCTACATCTAGCTTGCCAACTCACGATTCAGCTGGGATATAGGCACCTTCCCCTCATCGACACACTATCTACATTGTCGATCAGAGTCGAATGACCTTCCAATTCCTTGAAACGTTGCAGATCAACCCCTGTGCTTGCAGTCGGTTGGAGAATGGGTTTACAAGGCGCATTTGACTGGGATGTGACGTATGATACAGTTACCATGATACGGTCAGAAGCTTTGATCAGAAATGTCAAGCAGCCAGAGCCTGACTATAAAGTCGGAGTGCCGTCTTTCTCGTTGTCTCTTGGAGTTCTGCTTTTCAGTCTCTTTAGAGAACTGTCCTCCTATCAAACTGTGTATCTTCTTCAAAATGACCTCGCAATTGCTTGAATTGGACACCTTTGTCCTCCCTCCAATACTGGCTAATAACTCGTGGCTTAGTAGTATAGCATGTGTTCTTTTTGTCACTTATCTTGGTTGGCAATTCCTTCTTCGGAACCAGATGCTTTGGAACTCCCGTTCAGAACCTCCTATGCTACCGTACTTGATACCTGGTATGTGGAGAGCTTAATGCCTGATGTCTTGCATGTCGGTTGACATAAGTAGGTGTTGGTCATTCAATTCAATTTGTTCAAGACACGCATAAAACTCTTGTGGGAGCACGGTAGGCAAATGCATTTCTTGTCTATGCTCTAAATTTGCTGATATAGGAATAGGAGCTACTTCTCCCGGAAGTCTCAACCATTCAGCGTCTATATTGGTGGACGCCGTACTTATGTTGTCATGGACCCTCGCGATATTGCTGAGACCTATAAAAAGACAAAGGAGCTGAATTTTGACGCTTTTGTTAACCAGGTCATGGGCTATGTCGGCGTATCTGATCATGCCAGAATGACCATGTGGTCAACATCGGTGCCTTCCACAAACCTGTCGGTCCCAAACTCAATTCGATCCTGGGTAAGACAGGATCTACAACGAGGTCCAGCGTCTGAACCGCTCTATGCCGATTTTCTCAAAGAGCTTGATCAGACTCTCCTAGCAACTACCGGAAACGGCTCGGCAGCCCGCCAGTCATTGCTCCGGTGGACGGGCGATATCATTGTGACTGCCTCTACAAACGCCCTTTTCGGCCCAATCTGCCTTCAAAATGCTCCTGAGCTCCTAGAGGCATTTCACATGTTCAACCATCACGCGTGGAAACTCCTCTTTCAATATCCAAGAGTCTTGTCTGCAACGGCTCATGACGCCAAGGACGGTTCTGTAGGTGCACTGACCAAATACTTTGAGCTCCCCAAGGAACAACGTCAAGGGGCAGCCAACTTCATTCTTCAATCAGAGGACGAAATGAGGCGAAACGGAATCGGCTCAAGAGACATTGCTGCGGTTCTTTTTAAATTGTATTGGGCGTAAGTAAACCCAAACACTAGTAATAGTCTTGGTCGATACGTTGACTGATAATCTCGAAGCATCAATGGCAACCCATCCATCCTTGCGTTTTGGTTTCTTGGACATATCCTCTATAGTCCGAGAATAATGACAGACCTTCGCGCTGAAGTTGCGCCAGCATTTGAGGAGAATGGCCCCAAGGCACAGTCAGACCTCCAAGTTTTGCTTACACAATGCCCTAAGCTGAATGCAGCGTTTTACGAGACGATGCGTATCCACGGTGGTGCTTCTACATTCCGTCGCGTCGTCCAAGACACTGTCGTTGCTGGCTACGAGTTCAAGGCTGGCTGCGATGTCATGATGCCATACCGCCAACTCCATCTCAACGAGGACTATTGGGGCCCCAATCCTGAGAGATTCGACATTCAGAAATTCGTGGATGATCCGAAGTTGGCAATGGCCAAGACCTACAAGCCGTTCGGAGGAGGTGCAACGTACTGTCCTGGGAGATTTCTGGCGCAGCATACAGCTTTGAGCTTCATGGCGACTATCCTCACTCGCTTCGACATTCAGGTTGTTGGAGGATTGCAGAGTCAGAAGTTCCCAGAGATGGATGACAAAAAGCCTACCTTGGGCATTATCTCTCCCGTTCCGGGTGACGATGTCGAAATTAGCGTCAGAGCTGCAGTTTGAGTATGAACTCTATGCGCGTTTGAGTCGGTTGTTTAGTCATACAAACCAGTGCAATGATCCTTCTCTCCTGTTACAAGAGTCCTTTTGAAAATCCACACAACAGTCAGGCTAGTTAGAAAATAAGAACATATCCGAAGCCTACAAACACGCTAAAAGCACTGGAATTGCAGAAGTGGGCCGCTCAAATCTGCCTGAAAAGCTGCAGTGCCGCCGTGATTCAGCTTATCTATCTTGGCACGCTAAACGACCCGCTCACAGCGGCATTTATTGCCTACAATTGGCATGAACAACTGAAACTGGAGTCTGTTGAAGCCTTACAACACGCTATGGTAAGCTCCGCCACGCCCCAGGCGTTTTGACGAGCAGCACGCACCCAACGCACCCACTGTTTCGCGAGTAGATAGACATAGTAAAGTCCTATTCTTTCCGTCAAGCCCGTCTACCTGTAGAATGTCGTTGGTCTAGAGGGTGATACAGCAAAGAGATGTCTGAATATGGCGATCCAGCTGTTGCCAGAGCGTTCTGGCGCTCGGTTCCGCCTCCTTTGCGCACGATTCTAAAGACTGGTATTTGGCTCTATCTTCTCGGCCTAATCCTTGACATCGGTCAGATGATAGTAGCCATCTTGAGCTATACCGGCGCTGTCACCGAAACTGATCCCGATGTAGACATCACATTTCCATCAGTCGGGGATCACGTCCAACGTCTCATCATAGCATGGGCCTCCCTCGGAGTCGTGGTTCACATTACGCTGGCTGCAATGGTTACAATCAGGATTGGACGAAGGGCAATTACGAGGAATGAGAAGCATTACACAAAAGCTAGACTGGTGTTGCTTACATGGTACATGCCATGGAGTCTTGCAAGCCTCGTAGTATGGAGTGTGTGTGTTGGCCTACAGACGCGGAATTATGTACCAAACTTGAACGCCTTGCCAGAATGCAAGGAGTACTCTGGACTAACGCAATGCGGTATGGTATTTGGAAGCTGGATTATTGGCATGGTTTACATGTTAGTACTTGAATTTACCTATGCCGTTTGATAGAGTTTCTGACTGACTTGTGATTAGCTTCCTGCACTTGTGCCTATTCCTTTGGATAGTTCTTGTGCTTAGAAAACTCAGAATGAGTTACATATCACCGGGTTATGAATTGGGTGTTGCAGATAGGGTTTCTTCGACTCGTCGGAATCAGTCGACAGAGAGATGGCTTGCAGGTGTGGAAGACAGAAAGGGGCCCGTATGCGAGCGACTGCGTGCTGAGTGGCAGACTGCTGGTGCCTCTAAACCACGAAGCTCTGTAAAATAAATTGTCTAGTCTTATGATCTGATAGACAGATGCCGGAGTGTTGCACCGGATTGGCCGAAGCTCATTCCGCTCTCCGGCTGGCGAACGAATCAGTCTCTCATCTTACATATATCTGCCACACAACCTTTTGGGGTTCTCAAACTCACAACTTGGTGGTTGAAAATGGCAAGTCGAGGAAGAAACTGCATCCTTTCCGATCTTACACTTCTGCATAATTTCTCTTGCATGCCGGATGGCTATTTCACTATGGATTCAAGATAACTAGCATGCAGTAATTCCAAGTCTCTTACCGGGCGATGTCTCGGTGCGCAAGACGGTACTAAGAACTCCACAAACCCCACGGTTAGTCTAAATATCTGGATCTGGGTTGTTCTTGGCCTGGATTTGGCAAACCCTCGCATAATACTTCCCTCATATGACATGCAGCAACCTATAAAGACTTTAACAGTGTAACCCATAATCAACAAGAGTGCTTAGATCATCACTAAGTCCATCCCAACCGACCACTTTCCGATGCTATACACATGCGTAGCCACTCTGGTACTTGTATGTCTTGTACATGCAAGTCCGCTCACTTGTGGTGTCAAAATTCCTCTCGTGCACGTCAAGAATGGCACATTGCGAGGCTTGTCTCTTCCAGATTTTGACGAGGAGTTATTCCTGGTCCCATTTGCGGAACCACCCATTGATAATCTAAGGTTGCGGCATCCGATTCCCTACCAATCTGCATGGAACGAAACGCGCGATGCAACCGTTCGGAGCGTAAGCTGTGCTGGGTATGCAGGGTTTGACAAGGACCTTATACTGGGAGAAGGCATGGTTTTGTGTTCTTGATAAATATTATCATTGTCCTAACATGTGCTTAGATTGCTTGACTGTTGATGTTGTACGTCCATCTGGCATACAGCCAGGGGATGACCTTCCCGTCTTTGTTTGGATTTATGGAGGAGGCAAGTGAAACATCTCTTGCTGGACTCTACAAGAGACTGGCCAACTTAAATTCAGGGTTTACAGCTGGCGGAAGTGCGGATCCCTGTTATAACACTTCGTATCTTGTCAACGCCTCTGTGGAAATAGGTGAGCCAATTATCGCAGTGTCGCTCAATTATCGAGTTGGAGGATGGGGCTTCCTTGCCTCTAAAGAGACTGTGGTAGAGGGTGCGTCTAATATTGGTCTGCTCGACCAACGCCTAGCTCTCAGATGGATCAATGAGAACATAGAAGCGTTCGGCGGAGACCCATCCAAAGTAACGATCGCCGGTGAATCTGCAGGGGCCTTCAGCGTTGGCTATCACCGAGCCACAGGCGCAAACCAGTGTACTCCTATAGATTTGATCAGCCACCATGGGATGGGTCTGAAGAGCTCGTTGCCACAGAAGCGCCCATATTCTCCACACATTACGCTGAAATTTGTTTCGTCTTCAATATAGAACCATCCGCGAGCAGGAATAATAGCAACTGGATTGGACCATTTCCAGAATACTATACACTCTCCAAGCAGATTTCCAGAGCTTGGATATCTTTCATTCATAAGTTGGATCCTAATGGACATGGAATGGATGGGGTGCCGAGGTGGCCGGGTTACTTGTGCAGGAGGAAAATTTTTGTCTTCAGAGCTGATGGCAATTATGTCGAGAAGGACAACTGGCGAGAACCCCAGTTGCAGTACTGAGGAACAGTATGGAAGAACGTGAAAACTTGATTTCATGATCATTATCGCTATGAAGCATTAATAGAACATCTAGAACCAGACTGCTATGATCGTGTCTCAATCTTCAAACAAACGCTGCACTTCGTGTACAGCAGCCATGTCCTTACGCCCCCACCAATAATTCGCCCCCGATAGCTTCGTCCGTCTAACTTGCCCAATTTTATGCAATATTTTCCTCCTATTGAAGCATAGAAGCACGAATATGATGGCGAGACATAAGCCAGCCGTAACATAAGGACTTCCTATCCAAGTTGCTGGTGCATTGCCCTTCTTTCGGCTCACGACCTCGCTGTGTTTGAGCACATTGCCCTTTTCATCCACCGCAGCGACACGAATGTATTCAGGCATTTGGTCGTGGAGAGTTATTGATACTTCAAATCCATCTTTATCCTTCTCTAGAAGGTCAACGTAGCGATCCTGTTGAACACCCTCCCAATCCGCGCCTTGTAGAATCCATCGGTCGACCTCCGTGGCGCCGAGCCAACTGACAAACATGCGGCGGTCTGAGGCCCTAAGATATATACTGGGAATTGTCTTCGGCTTTCCAACCCAGCTACTAGTTTTGAATGCTCGATATGACGTGACCATCCCAAAGGAAGAGATAACTAACGGCGCGAGACGCACGTCACATAATACGCGACCATCTGAAGCAAATTCTACCAGGTTGGGAAGGAAACCATAGCCCAATAGCATCTTCCCATCATCCATCAATTGGGCCGACCCCTGAGACTGAGCCCGATAGCGGTGGCTTGGATCTGCGTATTCGGCAAGTCGTTTCACTGTCCAAGCCGCTGTGTCGAGCTGCAGAAGGAGACCTCGACTATATTCGCCCACGTACTCTATTGATTCGGATCTGGCATTGTCGAAGATGGTTATGGTGTGATTGGCATGAACTCTGGCGTGATGTTGCCAGGCAAAGTCGGTCGCATGCCCATCGGACAAGTCGTGGAATTTGTTCTTCGTGCCACCAAGAGTCCAAAGAATCTCACTGGGATCTGTGGCACTGATACACATGACACTATGCATATGTCTAGCCGAAATGACATAGTTGCCGCTCTCGTCCTTGTCCACACTGTTAATGTGGAAGAAATCGAAGGATGTTTGAGGGTCGCGTCCTGCTGATTTGCCTTCCAGAGCAAAATTAAGCATACTGTCTCGAAGGCCAACATGCTTAGATGCTCTCCATTCAAATAAGAGTGTGCCCGTTTCAATATCCACTTCTTGAAATATACTGTCAAGGATCCAGCCGTCAGCCGGTCCTCCAATCGCGGACAAATCTGCTGGCGTATTGAGATAGACGGTCATCAAAGCGGTACCTTCCTCTGTAATTTGGAGATCATGCAGGTCTCCCATTAAGCCTTCGCCGACGGATTGAATTGATCGAAAGACTTCGTACGTCTCATCAAGCATGTAATAGATCCCTCGTCCGTATCGATATTTCACACCATCAGTTCCGGACCAGAAAGTCAGGTAACTTTTGCCCTTGTAGCTTTGCACTTTGAAGTCAGTGACTACGCCGAAGCTGTCATCTGTCCATACGAGATTCCCTCGAGGGTCGAACATCACAGGTCCCGGCTTAGATACCATGCTTCCTCGCGGCGATAGAAGATAATAGCCACCATCGTCACAATCTCTATCCCACCGCAGAAAGTTTAGGAGAGGCGCGGTTCCTTTGAAAGATTTGTACGAACTTCGTGGGAATACCCCGTAGAAACCCCAGTCGTATAAAAAAGGCGACTTGAATACTGTGAATGCATTGACGGCGTGATAGGTTGTAACCAGGAGCACAAACAGTGCTCTTAATGTGCTCGACATGGCTTTGTGTCAAAACACAATTCTACAGATGACAGAAAAGATACCGAGAGCAAACGGCCACACGCCCACATGAATTTTGTCTGCGATCATGGTGTTCGTAATAGACTCTTAGCCGCGTTAATGTCCTAAAAGGGGACAGGTGAGCGAGCATTGCCAAGCGTCTGTGCCGCATGGCGCGCTTTTTAGCATATCTTTAAGACAATGTCCGGGGTCTAGCATCGAGGAACCCACCACGTGTGCAATGATAGGCCAGCGATTGTGCCACTCCCAAATGAACACCATCCAAAGCCTTTCACGATACCATACCAATCATCACCCTGATAAATGAAGTGGATCTATAGTATACGTACTTGTATTTAGTTGTTCTCTCCTATACTATTCACTTCTCCAGTGCTGCTACATAAAGTGCTCTTCTAGCGGTGCATCTGTTTATCACGAGCTCGTCGGCTCGTTGGTGGACTAGTCCTGCATCATACACCCGATCCAAGAATCTGTGACAAATCGAAGCTATAATTGTACTTGCCCGACGCCTACCTAAAAAACATTGAGATGTCTGGTTATTTCCATAGCAAAACAGCTCCAGCGGCCGCCTGAAATAGTCTTGAGGAGATCACTCGGCATACATATCCTCGTTCTCGGGCGGCGTATACTTCGCCTGTATCGGCACGCCGGCTAATGCGGTGATTCTAATAAAATGACGACGATGTTCCATGTTATCCAAAGTGGCCGAATGAATGCACACGCGCTTTGCATTTGGTCAGCACTGATGGACCCAACACGAGCAAGTTAGGACAATTCTGACTCACCTGATCCCAGACGCAGATGTCACCCTCACTCCATTTGTATCTCGCGTGAAAGTCCGCACCCTTAGTAATGTGATCGCTGAGGAACTTGAGAAGGTATTCGCTTTCTTCGTGCCTCAGACCTTCGAAGTGAGTGATTCGTTCTGGATTAATGTAAAGCGACTTATACCCGGTTGACTTGCAAACCGTCAGACCTTGATTGTGTATTGAGTTAAGGGGATGCTTTTAGGCACTGACCGGTTGCTCATAAACTACAGGATGGGTTGATTCGACCTCCTTTCTCCGACTAGCCCCGCCAACTCTTGCCGCCTTCGCCGTCATGACCTTTGAAGAGTGCACTGCTCTAAGACCGCAAAGAAACTGCTTCATAGGTGGACTCAGTCGCTCATACGCCTCAACGAGACTACCAACAAGAGTGTCACCTCCGGAGGGTGCATCACTCTGCATACAACAAAAAAACGTCATTCCTGGTGGCTGATGTTCTTGGCTTTGGTCGATATGCCAGATAGCTCTGGATAGTCGATTGGGCCACCAGTGTTTCTATTAATCACAATCAGCCTTAACAATCATTCTTTATACGCCGAGTCTCTTTTGCTCAAACACTCTGGCTTTTGATATCTACTTACTCTGACCGTGTTCATGTTGTCTTGATACACAACAGAGATCTCAGTAGACTCTGGCGGTCTCGGTTGGACTGCGTGTTGGTGAAGCTGCCCATAATAACGAACCATATCTAACTTTTTCTTCAATGAAACGTCTCGGAATGTCTGCTTGACCTTTTCATCACTGCCAAAGAATACGATACCCTTCTTGGCACAAAGAAGAGCCAGCTGATCTTGACCGGCTTTGTCCAGAGACGCCAGATCGAGACCTGTAACACGAACTCCAATATATGGCGTAAGCTGTCCCATGACAAACATGTTAGCAAAGCTCTTATGGCTTAAAAAAGAACAGCAAGGTCAGCTCCCACGCCGATATCCTTTGATTATTCAAATCGAAACTCAATCATGTCGTGAAACCGATGATATGCCGGATACGCACCTCTTCAATCTTGACATGATCGTTGTAGAACACAGGCATCGCTGGATCAGCATCTAGTGCACGATCGTGATACTCGAATGGCTCAGGCTCGGGGAAGACGTCATTTGGGTCGTTGTACGGGTAGTACTCAGGATACTTCAAGCCTTCCGTGTTTACCATCACTGTTTTGAGCTTGTCCACCGGAGGTGCCCCTTTGGCCTCAAAGGTAGTCACGGTGGACGGTTCTTCAATTGCACTAGGTGCCATCTTAGACGATTAATGGGCAATCTTCAGATAAGAGTATCTTGGGAATAGCAGGCTCAGTTGTTTTCTGCCAAGGTTGTTGTATTTTGGCTTTATCAGCATCCGAAAGGTGTTCTCCAATGTTGCTTATGTATTCTAGGTATCAATTCCAAATTGCTACTGTGTAACCGAGCTTGTTGTTTGGGGACCTAAGCTGGGGCGGATCTCCATGACCCGCGGAATATCAAATTCCGGCGACTGGGTTGGTTGAGCTATCCGCTTTGTGCTAAGATCGTCCAAGTCAGGACTAGGTGACCCGCGATATGTCTTTCACAGCGATCAGGTCGCAACTCTTTAGCTAATTTCTTATCAACGGTCTGGCTTGGCTTCCCGGCACTCTTGCTGATAAGTCCAGAGTTGACGAAGTACAAGACAGTCAACTTCGAACGGATTTCATGCGATATCCGGATTTCTGAATCCCATCAAAGTCGTGGTTCGTTGCGCTGTACTAAAGCCCCGCCACCGATATTCCAGCCATGGCTCCGAAGTCCTCCGAGATTGTTCCAGATAACGACACACAGAGCATCCAGCATGGCACGATGGACAAGACCATCAGTGGAGGCCACGGCGACATCGCTCTCAATCTCGCTTATGAGCTAGATGCGGGTTATGAGCCTTCTCCCGAAGTAGAGCGTCGAGTTCGTCGCAAGATTGACTTCATTCTTCTCCCGCTCATCTCCTGCACCGCTACCCTGTCCTTCTTGGACAAGGTGTCTAACAACTATGCAAATAACGTAAGTTTAATAAAAGCATGCCTTCTGATCCATGCCGAGTCTAGAGTGTCGCTGACAACTTGCAGTACGGCCTCTCCACGGTCCTCGGCATGCACGGTGACCAGTTTTCGTGGAGCGCCTCTATTTTCTATTTCGCATTCTTGATCTGGCAGCCAGCGGTCTCCTACATGACCCAGCACTTTCCTCTTGGTAAATTGATATCGGTAAGTCTCTAACCCATTCCTCGACGATTGCTGTCCAATATGAATACATGCAGCGTTTGTTGTACTTCGTCGGCTAACGCACTGCCAACAGATAAATTGCATTTGCTGGGGACTCATTCTCCTTGGAGAGGGCTTCGTGAAGAACTATGCTGGCTTTGTCGTCCTTCGCTTCTTCCAAGGTATCTTCGAGGCTTGCGTCTTACCCACATTTCTCCTCATGTGTTCAATATGGTGGACAAGGGAGGAGCAGTCTTTGAGATCTGCCTTTTGGTGAGACAAAACTCCAGTTGAACGTCCTATCGGTAGACAGGCTGATTTGAGTATAGGTTCAACTCTATTGCCGGAATGCTTGGCGGTCTGTTTGCATATGCTATCGGACAATGGCACGTTCAACACGGCTTTCATCTCTACCAATACCTCTATATTGTTTATGGTTCCTTTACGACAGGTTGGGGTGTGATGCTGTTCTTCGTCCTTCCCGACTCTCCAGTCACAGCTTGGTTTCTCAACCACGAGGAAAAGCTCGCCGCTGTAGCGCGTGTGAAACATAACCAAACCGGCATGATCAATCGCCACTTCAAAAGAGAACAAGTGATCGAGACAATTCTTGACCCAAAGACGTGGTTTTACTTTCTATTTGCCTTTATCTCAAATCTTGTAAATGGAGGATTGAACGCATTTTCCACAGTGATCATCAAAGGCTTCGGATTCAGTAAGACCCTTTCACACGTCTTTTGGCTTCTCTAGTTACCGTACTAGCTAACACTATGCTCTAGGCACTCTAAACACCACACTTCTCTCAATGCCTTGGGGATTCGTCGCTACAGTTGCCAATATTATTGTCGGTCTTTGCATATCTTACACTGTCGGTAAACGGCTTTTTTACATGTCGGCGGTTATTCTTATCCCAATGATAGGAACTATTCTGCAGTTCGCCCTCAGTGGACCTCGTGGGGCTCTTCTTTTTGGCTACTATCTAACCGGTGCATATAATGCTCCATATGTAATGCTTCTGGCCCTCATCGCCTCAAATACAGCAGGCACAACTAAGAAAGTTGTGACGAGTGGTATTGTCTGGATTGCGTACTGCGCTGGTAATATTGCCGGGCCCTTCTTTTTCAGAGACGAAGACAAACCTCGCTATCGGATGGGCATTGGTGTTATTCTAGGAAGCTTTGCTCTTCAGTGTCTTATGTCTCTGGGGTTTCGGTTTTACTTGCTTTGGCTCAATAACAAGAAGGAGAGAGAGGAACGCGAAGCGCCAGATCCTCAGGAAGATAGCGCCACGCATGCTTTTGCGGACTTGACGGACAAACAGGTTAGTGGCGTCTTGAGGCACCTTCGAGAAATCCCAACACTAATTACCTCCAGAATCATCTCTTCAGGTACACTTACTGATGACGCGCTCTCATCTATTGTTTGATCAGCAACCTTGTCTCGCCGTTTCCTTTAAATCCAATTTGCTCACAACCTTCTTCTTCAGTAGTCAGTAATGGGACACACTCAATGAGTAAGATGTTATGTAAAGTTGAGAATGATTTATGTCGACTTCAGGCAAACTATTCTATTCATTAGCTCCATACCGTGTTGAAGGGGAATATTCATGAGCAATCGTAACATGATGCAGGCTTCAAGTTCTTTAAATCCAGATCTAATCCGGTAAAATAACATTCAATAAAGTCACTGCCTTGTTCTTAATAAAATTAGGCCTATGATTTATATCATTGATCTACATTGATGCATTCGCATCCTTGACCGCGGCTGCAATGCTATCTCTTAATATCCAGGCGTCCAAGGCAACTCCAATCATTTGGATGCCTCTCGACATCATTGCTTTTACGCCTCCAGTTGAAGGCCGAATTCGACCTCCTTGCCATTTTCCAGCAGCTTTAACAAGAGCTGAGATGTGATCAATGGCATCAATTACTTCTTGCGGCGGGTTACTTGAGTTTAGCTCATAACCCATTGATAGGCATAGATCTGTTTCTCCTGTAATAATGATGTCTATTGAACTACTATTAGTATCTCGGGCTTTATTGGCTGCTTTGAGCGGTAGATGTGTGCCTTGATATGTGGCCGCATACCTATTCCTGGGGTATTGATTATAGCTTCGATGTTCTCATATCCCTCCCGAGTTTCGATCATTACTGCGACAACAATTTCGTGATTTGCCTTGCGTCGATATTCCTCATCGGATGACCACCCAAATGCATCTCTGGAGTAGGTAGAGCCGAAGCCACGTGTGCCATGGGGTGGGAATCGAGCAGCGGCAGCGATTGCAGCAGCTTCGTCCTAATTTACAAACAGATAATGATCAATTTAGTCTGACTTAGATCTCTTCAACTCAAAGTACATGTACAATTATCGTGTAACTCACAGGTGTTGAGACCATCGGAATCGCTATGCCATGAGCTCCTGCATCAAGAGCTCTCTTTATCAGCCACCCTTCACTAGATGGAAGCCGAACGATTGGCGAAACGTTAAAAGGAGCCACCGCGTGTATGGCAGTGTGCATCTCAGAATCAGACAGGCCTCCATGCTCTAGGTCGATCAATACGTACTATACAAGTCATTGTTGAGCACTACTGCATGCCTTCATCGTCCAATGCCAATGGATGACTTACAGTTAGCCCTGGAACACCCGCAACGATGCGAGCGACATGTGCGGATGGCATAACCAGCTGCACGCCCAAGGCATGCCGACCTTCCTGTAAAGCCTTGCGTAATGGACTTCCATCAATGTGAATTGGCATAATGCTTTTTGAGAAGGGATGGATATGATCGAATAGGAAGTAGGGGGTAAGTTTGAGAAACAGGCGATCTACTCGACACCAGGAATTTCTAGACTCATCTTGGGTAACCCGGCACGTAAGCACCGGCCAATCTAAGCCGGAATACGAGGACACGATCTCAATCGAAGATTGCAGCATGTGTCAATGGTTTCGGATTGTAACCTGTAGTATAACTGAACTTTGATTGGGTGATACCAACTAGGAGTTTGTATGAGCCAATAGCAAAACAGTCAACGACCGAGAATGGCACTAGCAAGATAAGCCGGAATTTCATTTTCCGGCCACGGACAGCCACGCCGTAAGAGACCTCTGAAGGGGCGGCAACGCCTGCAGGAAATCGGCAAATTGACTAGAATAACCTTCCTATCCAGTCCGTGCCAAATGGTAGTTGGGTTAGATGTCCCGAGACTTTGATGCCTGATGCCGTTGTTCCAACCTGCATCATCACTTTCACACTACCCCTATTGGCCACGTTCAGCTCAACCAACCTCTGTAACTTTCCGTGTCGATGTTCAAGAAGTATGTCATTTATTTGGAATGATAGCTCATTTGAAGGATTCATATCAGTTCTTTATCCTTAAACGTAAATACAAGTTTCGCCATCCTTGTTATAGTCCATAGTATGAGCCTGGTGAGGGGAATAAACGGTTGGACCACGATTCAGGCGCCATACCGTCAGTTCCCCTGACCATTTCAAACAGAGACTGCTCTTGTATTGGAGGTAGCGTCGAAGTGTAAGCGTGATCTGTCCACCCGAAAGGCTGTGACATCCATGACATATCATTCAGTCCAGCTTCCTGCGAAACAAACGATTGATGTGATAGCTCCAGGTCTGGGGTCCCGGCCTACGAAATCCATTTAGCATATCCAGCCGATGCCAAGAGTGATGACGAAAACAAATCGCCATGCCTCTGTTGACTGTAACTTACCGGGAAGCTTGATGTGGTGAGAACAGTCTCGGACTCCGGGACAAACGTCATCGGGTTGGGACTGAAATCTGCTCTTGGAGGTGCCCAGCCTAAGCGGCGTAGCTGCCGAGCCACTTGAGGGTTCTGTTGCAACATCCTCTCCACATCTATCTGATCATTCCGGCCTTGTTCAGATATGTTTGATCTCGTAGTATCAGTATCAGTCGTGATTGTGCTTGAAGACGGGTGCCATTCGCGCAATAGCCGTTCTAGGACATTCCCGCTTTGAAACGCGCATTTCCAGGTCTGCCCGATCGAATGCAAGGCCGCAATACAACCTTTGACACATTCTGTGTCTCCGTCGATGTTCTTACCGTTGGCTACCGCAAGGAGATGGATGGTTCCCGCAGTAAAAGTAAACTGGGTCATCGAAACTGGCGCATGTCGAAGGCTAAATGTCCGATTGAACAACTACTTTCAGTCAATATCCATGACACTTAAGCAACACGAGACTCAGGGACTAAAAGAATACAAGTTGCTCGAGACTTTACCTCAGCTAAACGTAGGAGCCGCAGACTGAGATGATTGAGGGATTAGCATGGGTTTCAGGTTCATCTATTTCACTCTACCGATGAGAACGTACGCGGCCTGGTTGCATCTCTCAGTAGCGGTCGTCGCGAACGTGATACTCGGAGCATTCGGCGTCGTTTCAAGTAACTTAGAAGTGTCGCAATAATCTGGTCTATTCAATAATATCACCGCGAAGGCGTGAGCCATATTCATGACCAGGACATGAGGTACCAGATTCGGGACGTTTTGGTTTCGAATCATGGCAGCATTCACTCGAAGTGCCTCGGGAAGCTCTGCAAGCCACTTTTCTAACAATACACTGCTATTATCAGAATGTAATCGCTCGTGAGGTCGGCGACGTGCTTACGAGATTTTAAATTTAGCATTTTGCGCATTCTCGGAATAAGCACTTCGTCTGCTCGAGTAACTTGACAATCAGTCAGCAATACGAACCTTTTGCACCTTTTCCGACAACTCACATGTTGGTCAAAATAAGTTCGATAATTCTTCCAAGTTTGCAAGTCCAAGTGAACGTGGATGATATGCGAGAGTCCCGTATACGATCAGAGCCAGTCTCGTTTGGCATGACCCACGGCATAGCATCTTCTTCATTGGAAATGGCTGGAAAGGGCATTTGGCCGTGAGAAAGATTAGGAGCAGGAGCTCGCCCAACATAAGTGGACCAAAGTTTATCCTGTATGTAAGCATTATGCCAAACACGGTCCCGAGACCGTTTCGTATCAAGACTAATGACGCCTTGATCCACCCAGGAAGAAGCGTCGATGCCGAGCCCTTCTAATTGATGAAGGTGCGTTAGAGAGGATGAAGCTCGATGTTCACCTATAGCCGCAGAATAAAAATCGAGGGACACTCACGTATCCGAGTCAGTCTCATACCAATTCCAGCGTAGATGTATCCCAGGCCTTGTCGAGCATGTCCGGCGTGATGTGAGCCTAATAGCATCAAACCACTGACCGCGCTTAGCTTTGCAGCTTCAATCTCATCTTCAAAAAATGTTGCCGCATTCCGAGCGAATTGATTAGCGAGAGCCTCTCGGTCAGAATAGTTAAGATAATCCAAATACATAACGCCGACAGCGAGAATAGCAAAGTGAAGCAAGGGACTATAGTAAGCTGTTCGAAGTGTACGCTTGATAGCTGGGATCGTGGGAGCAGGCGACATTGTCATATCATGCCGGAAGCGATCTTCATCGACCCACCAGCACCAGGGGTTGAAGAATGCAAAGAAGACTTGCAGCGTATCTTGGTGCATCTTCCCGTCAAAGCCTTCTGGAAGATTCCATATAGAAGAACCCTCCAAGAAGGCACAATTGATGCTGAGGGGTGACACTCCGGACAAGATCGAAGCATCTGGGGAGTCTTCATTGGTGGGCAGGTGTTTGAACATTGAAGTAGGCCCATACTCGCGCGTTTCTCCAGCATTGTCCATCTATTAGTCCTAGCTTAGCAGTTCAATCCAAAAGAACGGAACAAAAAAAGGAGGCAAAGAAACATGACATACCTGAAGACGCTCAACGGGCTGGGATGTTTTCCCACTGGGGCGTGTTGATCGTTGATCTGGGCTCAAGCTAGTAGACTCCTCCATCTCTCTGTCATCTAGCTCTTCATCGTTATCCTCTTGCGTTTTTTGTTCGGTATGTCTCTTCAACTCTCTTTCCAGATGCGTGATTTGAGCTTCTAGAGCAGCTACATAGGTCTTACGCACTGGTCGTCGTCTATCTTGGGCCGTGTCGTAAGTGCACTCATCGCCATGCAAATCACAAAGAGCTGCTCAAGAGCACAGTTAATAAGAGCTAAGTCCAGGATAATACTGTATATCAAGGTTCCCTACCACATGTTGGTCGTCCATCACACCGAGTCTTCCTATGACCACCAGTAAGCATTAGCCATCCATGACTCGACTCAATGTTGTGTTAAACATACTTCCGGCGGCAAACATTGCAAGCTCTGCGAATGTGTTTTGATCCCCTTCTCTTGGAAGAGTTGCCCGGCTCGGATTCCGCATCTCCAGCTGACGATAAGCCTGGGGCATCCTCTTGGTAGGACAATCCTAGAGGGCGAGAGGCCCGCGCTGCCATCCTGTCTTCAAATTGCCATTACCTGATAACACTGATACACGGATCTTGACACCCTATAGCAATGCGTTGGGCCTAATACTCTGGTCCTACTGGAGCATGGAAGGAATAGGATTTGTTATCTGGGTTAGGTTATGTGTTAGTTCCCCCGCGACCTAAGAACGATTGGCACTAGAAATCACGGCAGTCACGTGAGGGTGTCAATAAGGACCTCTAAATTCCCACACAGACACAAAAGAATGCGTGTGAGAATTTGCAACAGACCTGAATCTCACGGTAAATGTAGGATCATCATTAAGATAAAGTGTGTTTCCATAGGGACCAGTTGATTCGATCAAATTGCCCAAGCAGCAATATCGCCCTCGTCCCATATTCAATCAAAGGAAGGTACCAACCTCAAGTCATAACCTGTTCCCGTTGTGATATCTAGTTCGGCTTACATGTGCTCATATCAAGCAAACTATACAGTTCAACCTTGAGGCTCAATCTTCAAGAAGATATGTATTCTCCTGTCGCTACCGGTCCATCGGGAATATGGGAAATCTGGCTTATGGACTGTTCTGAAAAGTAAGCTCTGCTAGGACGTTGATCAACTGTTGCCCTCAGCCCTCAATCAAGGTGCTTCAGGAATAATTTCGGCTCTTTTGATACCAGCCTGTTTCTTGAGCTTCGTCTTGCTTCTTTTAGTGATAATTTGATGGTCAGTAGCGGATGAACGTCCATAGCCGACGGGCCGGAGTGCATCCTGGTTATTTCCGACGAATCTCATTATGTAACAGCGGGTCGATCTCGAACAGGTTGATAGAACCTCAAGGCTTGAATCAAAGATTGAGATCCGACTGTCAATTGAATCGACAGATGGATCAGGTCCAATAGGCTTTCTCCGAGCATATTCTTACGTGTGGCTGTGTCGCTATGAATCTTGCCTGTTGAAGTGCATAGCCTGGGGCTGGGCTTTTCTCACCCCATCAGTCATCGTGTAACGAGCAATTGGTTACACAGACCTATTAGACTTGCAACAGCCGCCAAGCCTCATCCACATTTGGCCCCAATTTCGCTTAAAAGACCGTCAGATGTTACTCTTGGCTGCACCTTTATGTGACATTGGAAGGAGGAGAGGGCGGGGCGGGCGGATACGCGCCTCTGATGAGATCCTTCGACCCTTTCCAGTGCTCGCTGTGCTACCTCTTCAGTTTTGTCCTCCTAATTCTTTTCTTACTCTTGACCTACCTGTGGAGAGTAAGTCCTGAGAACCAATTGCCCCCAGCAGTCTCGCAACGATTATGCTGTAGAATTTTGATCAATTAGCAAATTCTCCTGACAGAAGCCAGCCCGGAATCAAATCGGCTGGCTGCGAAGCAGTCGCACCAGGGTGGTCGATGGAAAACCAACCGGGTTTGGAGGTGTCGCCTCACCAGTCCTACCGGTCGCCTGGCCACAGTGAGACCGGCGCATTTGAGTCTGGTTTGGAGGTCGTGCCGGAGCAGCCCGGTCTATACCCCGCCGATCCGAAGCCACCGGAAGCCGAGAAGATTGTGGCGTCGACACCCCCGGTGGCGGCGGCGGCACAGAGGAAGCGAGTATGGTGGATCATCGGCGGCATCGTACTAGTCGCCGTTATCATCGGAGCCGTCGTGGGAGGCGTTGTTGGGAGTAGAGCATCACGTAACAACAGCAATAACGACTCATCCGAAGGTGCATCCTCAACAACAGGCACCCTAACGACCACTAGCACCGGTACTGCGACATCCTCCACGCCGACAAATACGCTTGTGCGGCAAAACTCGAGACTTGCTGTGACGGGATACCGGATCAAGGACACAAGCACGTTCCGCTTCCGATTATTCTTTCAGGACTTAGACGATAAAATCCGCTATACAGACTACTTCAGTTACAACGATTCGTGGATAGATACAATATTGCTTGACAATATTTCCACACTTCCTGGCACACCATTGGCTGCGTCGTCCTATCTGGAGAATGATCCGGTAAGATGCTTGCTGAGACTCCCCGAACTCAGGGAGAGACTAACGTGCCCATTCTGATCACATAGCCCGATGCCCAGCTCTATTTCTTAAACAAGTCATCCATTTTGAAAGCTTTGGTTTTCAGACCAGACACGGGCGTCAAGGGGGCGCAAAGATTTGGTCTCGCCAACCTAGAGATAGAGGTAGACCCAACGACACGGCTCGGCGCGTATCACCCCTTTTTGGTGACGCAACTGGCCAATGACTCGATGCTCTGGATCCGTGATAGTAACACAGCGTGGCCTAACAGGACTCTCCAGATCACAGGATCAACAGGGACAAGCATGGCTGTACTGACTGCTGCAGTCACCTATTCCAAGTCGGCCTCCATCTTGTATCGTGATGCCGACGGCTATCTTACCTCGTACGTTGCGGACAGAGCTAATCCCTCGGTCTTGGAAGAGGACTGGTCGTGGTATTATGGTATGTCTTTCATTGTACTTGTATAACCGTTGCGTTTCCCGTATTCATGCAATAGTGTGCATACCCGAAGGTCCTAATACTCTTAACAGGGCAAATTCATGCCGAGATTCCGTCATCTTCGATCGGCGCCTTTGCATACGCACGTGGAGAAGACAATTTCATCAACACATACGCGCTTTACCGGGATACCTCCGGGGCTTTGCAATATATGTGGCAGAATGACAGCTCGTCTTGGCAGGGGCCATCAACAGACGAGGTCCTAGGAGATGCCGATGACGGAACAGACATCGTGTGCCTAACAGAGCAGGCTTGGGACGGGGTGAAAGTCACGCTGAAGAGCAAGACCGATATGAACAGGTGCTTCTTCCAGCGCGATGAGGTATTATGGCAGGTGTTGTACGATGGGCAGACATGGCAGGATCTTGGGCCCGTGCCGTTGAAATGAGCATTGTAGATCGGCTCCCTTAAGGCAGCATCTGGTATCTTCTACATCGTGGGACTCTACAGTCTGAGGTCTTCCATTGCCTCTGGAGATCCCAATAGAGGTGGACATTGAGCATGGCGTTACGGCACTCGGATTATTAAGCAGGAATAAAAAGTTGTATTCATCTGAAGAATATCTAAGACAGTTGTTTCTTGAGACATAAAATGCGTAATTATCTTATATAACCTAGTCATTATATCCAGCTGACACGATATGCTTGAAATTTTACAGATATCTTAGATTTCTACATGAGAATTTCAAACCTTTGATATACAACACACTATGTCCCTCGCTACTACATCATTATGAAGTGGTTGACATTTAATTTCGGTTGTGGAAAGGCCATTACAACTTGCCGTAGTAATAAAAAAGGCTGAGCAGATTATTGCAGGCTTGTTCAAGTTCTCAAAGACAAGGGGGGAAAGCATCTTGAGAACATTTTACAGAACGGCATAAAATTCAGCGATTGGAACTATAGCCTGGGCTTGACTTTGGTAATCTTTGTATTATCACAAGCTATTAGAGTTAGGACTCAAACCTTGTCATTGAGAATGATAGACCGCTCCCTTAAACCTAAGGAGCCTTCAGTGAGGCAGTCCACGTCTTTGCTTGGTCGCAGAAGCAGGGTCAGTGACATCCTGGTTGAGCTGCACGACCAGTATCTTGTCTCCAGCAAGAATTACCAACTTGTCACCCGCCAGCGCAAAGTTCTCGATCGGCGCGTATTCGTCCTCCACAAGTTGCTCCCCATTGAACACGCCCAGTTCCCTCCCGCGCGAGTCTCGGACAACAATTCCGTTCCACTCGGCAGTCCAGACACGACCGTAGTTGTCAACCTTCATTCCATCTGCAAGGCCGCTCCTATCGATGGCAAAGAGACGCTTGTTAACCGGGTTGCAATCGGCGTCCAGATCGAACTTGTAGATTGCTGGCGAGCCTGACGAGTTGGATCCCGGCCCAGTGAGTTGAACAAGCGCTACATCGCTCACGTAGAGGTGGTTGCCATTGGGGTCAGCAGCGATGCCATTTGGCGCGAGGATGTCTCCGCGAGAGATGACCGCCTGGACTGTTTTGGTGGAAGGGGTGAAACGCCATACGGCATTGGGCAAGACGGCATCACTCAACCACGTCTCTCCGTTGGCGCCGAGATCGAGGGTTGTGAAGAACAGGTTGTCCTCGCCGGGATGAGCGCACGAGCTCGAGCCTGCGGAGAGACCCACGCCACATCGTCGATCGAGTTGAAAGGGACACCGCCGTATGTGTTGATCACAGTTCTGTGCTCACCCGTGACTACATCAATTGCGTAGATGGCTGGGACGGCAGACAGGGACTTCAGACCCAGTGATGCAAAGTACACGGCACCGTCGTGGTAGGAACCTCCCGAAACGATTGGCGGGATCGTATTGTTTCCGGGTGGAGTGATTTCGTAGGTGCTCATGTCGAGGATGTAATACGGTCGAGGATCATCACCGCCGCCATCAAACCAGACTTGATTGTGCTCTGGCACCCACACACCACCTTCCTTCGCCGCCACAAAAGTCGAGTTGCTGGCACTGATCGTTGTGATCTGAGGCGAAGCGTCGACTATGGTGTAGAACGAATCGTCATAGGCATAGAAGGTTGAGTTGCGCGCCGCAGCCAAGATCGCATCGATTGACGAATTGCCGGTTTCCGTGTCAATGAAGTTGGCGTTGATGCTGCCTTCATAGCCTGCTGGCAACAGATAGTAGTATTCTGGAGGAATTGATACACCACCAGACCCCGTCTGTGCGGAAATAGAGTCAATGATTGCCGCGACGAAGGCGCCGAGGACAATGCTTTTCATTGTGCTCATGTGGGTGGTGACGATTGAGTTGAAGCAGCTAAAGAAAGGAAGGACAGCTTGAGGATGTAATTCTCGTCGATAACTTGGCGCAGGACGCTCCATTTATGTAAAGCGAGGACGGGATGGATCCTTGTCTCCATGCCATCACACGTATTGCGACTTTTCGGAGGCATTGCGATCTAGGCATGCTAACTCGGGTCTGTCGCGACAGCCACTGAGCTCGAACGCGTATTCCTCAAGAAGCACACGTCACATTTTAGCAGTTGTGACATGTCCCAATACTTCAAAAGAACAGCAAAAGCAAAATTACGCAACTTCGTGCTCATAAAGTCTTCTGTAAAGCCTCATGAAGGATCGCGTCGTGACCAGGCAAGCGCTGTCCGTGGTTGTGGCTTAGCACGTTAAGTACGCAAATGTACGCCATCGCAATCCACGTCCTAATACGGAAATTTGCTGACAGTGATCCTTCCCGACTTTGACGATCTACCTTTTCCAGAAAAGCCACAATCAGCCGCTAATTTGATCGACCGCATAACGAGTACCCCGATGAGGGCTAGGGAGTATGCAACCCAGGCTTTGTTGGTGCAGTTGACAGTTACATTGCTGAATGACAGCAGCGGCTTAAGCTTAGTATGGTGTCCAACCCAGGGGTTTCGTGTCGAGTCGCCGGGACAAATGGGTCCAATATATGATGCCATCGACGAAATGAGGAGTGTCTCATTCACAGGCAGCTTGACGAGGCCCGGAGGAAGCATGAGCCCAGAGTCTGGAATAAGTCTCTCAAGCAATCGGCACGATGTTCATCAACGAATGGTTGTGGGATAAAGAAGCTGACACCGACAAGTCTGATGAGCAACACCGTGGTTTCTTGATCGTAAGGGATGTCAGAATCTAGAGTGTGTGCCTAGAAGGTGCCCTTGTCATTCCCGGCAGTTCCATGATGTGCAGGGATGCAATGCAGTGCGATGCAATGCGGGAAGAGCCGAGGTAGAAGTAAGGGGAGTGGGTATACTGTCCACCATAAGCTGCCTATAGTTCTCTGCGTCATCCTGTAGAGTTGGGAGGAGGGTCATGTCGAAACGTGGCGGGTTCAGCCGGTCCTTATAGATCTGTCAGTCTGGCTATGATGGATGTTATGTGCGATCAATGTGTGAGATCTTGATTCATGCTTCGAGGAAAGGCGCTCCTCAATTCGTCTTCTTCGTTCATACCCGGTCGAAGTGCGTTTCCTTCCCTGTTACTCCGGAAGCAAGTACTTGTCTTGAAAGATGATAATTTGGAAATGTTCGGACACGCGCATGTGATCCTGGACTAGAAGAGCCCCAAAGGGAAACACTGGTGAGCCCTTCGAGCATCAGTAGTAGTCCGGGATGAGTCGCTTGACTGCATGATAGGTCGGGCCAGGGCCTCACTGGAGGTCGAGACGAATTAGATGTGAGGCCAGGCTCTGGAAGGGAGGCCACGCGCAATAACTCGAAGGGCGTGACAGGTAGCAGCGAGCTCTCTACCAAGTATAGCTTACCTTTTAAGGCACTATCGTAACTTTACCTTATGCTAGCACCGAGCTGGTGCCACTCTCACGTCTCCATGCTATCACAACGGGGCAGGCACCTCGGCTCGAGTCCAAATTGGGCCCCTCCTAAAAGGATTCAATTCTATAATCGAGGAGAGGAGATCGCAGTGACAGACGAGTACGGCAAACTCTAGCTCTTAGACGCTTCATAAGGAAGCAGAATGGGAATGTTTCGGGCTTGTTGAGCTAAGCTTGACAGGTAAAGGTAGCTGCGCCCTGGCACGTGCATTAGGGTGTCAGGGTGTCGCAATGAGACAATGACGTTTCGATCAGAATATTCCTTGAGTTCGATGAAACCATCGGACGGTATATTGCAAAGTGTTCATGAGGGAGGATAAAGTTGCCGGCGGCCCGCCTTATCTATGCATATTGCCACATTGGCAAATTGCCCGCGGATCAATGATGCCTGATCGTGATAGATGGCAGCGTGCCTAGATCTTCTAGGGCGGCCAGATCATCGGGAGGACACAAGTACAGGACTTGCTGTTGATCCTTGGACGCGGGATGAAGTAAGCTGGAGGGGAACGCTGGAACGACACACCGAGCCAAGGAGCCTTATCAAAAGCAGCAACCCTGTACTTACACTTCATGTCTGCCAACGCGCCAATGATGTCGTGTTGTGTTTCTTGTTGCTTTTTTGTCGCAATCACCACAGAGAGGACCAAGCTTCCGGACGGCTGGCTTTCGAGGATGGTCTAAGCTCCAGTTAGCTCAAGGAGAAGTACCAGTCCAACGCATGCACAAAGCCGAAATAGTCATGATGTCGGGCACGAAGCTGAGAGAATTGATCGGACATCGAGACCTTGAGAGACCTGCCAAGGAAGTGAAAGAAAAAGCCGCTGATAAGACGGTAAATGCGGCAATCGGGAAGGTGATGGCGAAACATGTTTGCTTGACAACTTTTGATCGAGTCATCAATCAATCAATCAACCATTCTATCTATCAGCCTAGGAGATAGCTTGGCCTGGACAGACACTTTAATTGCGTGAAAAGATTGACATTGATCGGTACGGAGACAGAGACCAGCTCAGGCTTTGCCAGGGGGTCCAAGCCATTCCCACCAGTCACGGACAAGGCCGCGAACAAGGCCGAGGGGGCGCGATGCTGGAAGGGGTTTAGGGATGGTCAGGGAGTTGCAGGCTGTCAGATTTCGTTTTTGACGGCGCGATGGCACGTCATGATTGGGGAGATGGAGGTTGACTCGATGAGATCGAGTAATGCTTTGAATGCGGGGAGCGGGTTGGGGGAGACGGCGCTGATAAGCAGATGGACCACACCTCACACCCCCTTGCTAGCACCTCCTCGGGTCTTAACAGGCGCCGTGTTAGTGCCTCTTGGTGGCTGTAGCCGCACCGTCCCGTGGCCCGTGCAAACTCTTGAAATTTTCTGCATCTTGACGCAGTAGCGCCGCAGCTGGTCGCAGAGAAGGAGAGAAAAAAGACTCTTTTCTTATGATTCCCACTATGGATTTCCGTGATAAGACAAGAGACACAGCCAATAAGATGCCTGTCGATTGATGGGGCCAAGCGTCTTGTTACGCCTGCCGCCTTCAGTTCAGCAGGTCTTCTTCTTGCAGGAACAGCTCCCCTGTCTTGTCTTTGTCCCTTGGCAGAGGAAAAGCAGGGCCAAAAGGGTAACGTTGATCTTCGTTCCCCGGCTTTTCACCACCATTACAACAACCAGAGATGAGCATGCATCATAATTTCCCCGCTGGCCGGCGGCAGCCCTAACGGCCTCTCCGACTGCGCTTTGCTGAGATCATGCGGTCTCTAGATGCGCAAATTTTTCTCTTCCTCTCTCTCTATGGTCTTACACCTTGACTCCCTATCGATCAGCTCGGGTTCATGCAGCAAGGGACCAACCGGTCATCGCTCCTCGCGTGGGGGAGCCAAACCTGAAGTCGCATGTTTCGTCTGTCTAGACACGCGAGTCTGGCGTAAGGCTTGCCCCGGTACCGCAACCATGGCGTTGCACTCGGAGCTCTCTAGTGAGAACTTCGGATAATGATCAACACGAAACGATAAATACTCTCCCATATTCCCTTGTTTAGGACCCAATGTCTGTCTTCATCCAAGACATCCATCAGTCGGTTCTTAGATCTTTTGACAGCTCTCAAGTGAAGTGTCGTTCCTTTCCACTTAGACACGCTTAAGGCCACTTTAGCCCAGGAGCCGGACCCCATTTAGGATCCACGGCTTCGTTGAAGATCTCCGCCAACTTGACATAATATATTCAATAACAGCCTCCCCCACACTACCACTACACTGCTACCTCACGTGCATTGCGCGCGCGTCATAGCTTTGTGCATTCTGTGTTTCCTCCTCAAACAGACTTCCTCTCCCGTTCAGCTATTACTCGACGGAAACTCCCCTCCTAGGGTCTATTACGTTTCTCATCCAGAGTCTCGGGAACGTCCTCTTACCTCACCTTTCCTCCCATCCCCTCAAAAATAGCTTCATTAGCCACCGGCAATGGCTGAAGAGAAAGGGGCTAGGCTCCGTCGATGGGGCGACAAGCTTGCTGTCGATGCCGAGCCGGGATTGACCACGGCCCAGCTCATGGTAAGCTCCTCATATGATGCTAGGTGAACGGGGCATTCGCCGAGGGAATAACACCGCTAACCACAATGCGGCTGCGCACAGCTCACCAACCATGATCTGAAGCCCGTCGAGCCGGAGCGGCGCCAGTGGGGTCCCTGGAACTTTGTCGGTTTTTGGATTGCCGACTCCTTCAACATCAACACCTGGATGATCTCCTCGTCCATGGTCGTCGCCGGTCTGTCGTGGTGGCAGTCATGGCTGTGCGTCTGGATTGGCTACTTCATCGCCGCCATGTTTGTCTGTCTCACCGGTCGCATCGGTGCGACCTATCACATTGGGTTCCCCGTTGTCAATCGTGCCTCCTTCGGTATCTGGGGAAGTTTGTGGCCTGTCTTCAACCGTGCTGCTATGGGTAAGCTGCACCGCCGCTCTTATTTTCTGGATTGTCTGTTCTGTTGCTAACAGTCTCTAAGCGTGTATTTGGTACGGCGTGCAAGCTTATATCGGTGGGCATTGTGTATATCTCATGATCAGATCTATCTGGAAGTCATGGGTACGTTCCTTTCATTATCTCTTTGGAATCGAGAATCCCTGGTCTCACATACTAACGTCGTTCATTAGGACCGTGATACGATTCATAATACCTTCCCCGACGACTCTGGCACAACCACAGCTGACTGGGTTTCCTTCTTCATTTTCTGGCTGTGCTCCCTGCCTGCCATCTGGTTTCCCGTCCACAAAGTCCGTCATTTGTTCACGGTCAAAGCCTACTTCGTTCCGTGCGCCGGTATCGCCTTCTTCATCTGGGCGATTGTCCGCGCTGGTGGTGTCGGCCCTGTCGTCAAGCAGCCCGCAAAGCTCCACGGTTCTAAGATGGGCTGGGAGTTCGTGAAAGGAATTATGTCGTCCATTGCTAACTTTGCCACGCTGTAAGACCGACTTTTTGGTCTCCTATTAAGTGAGGAAAACGCTGACTTGACCTGCTCTAGTATCGTGAACGATCCTGACTTTGCTCGTTTTGCTGGAAAGCCCAAGGATGCTCTGTGGCCACAGCTGTTCACCATTCCTCTCGGCTTTGCTCTAACATCGTTCATCGGTATCATCGTGTCATCCTCGTCAGCTGTAATTTACGGTGGCGAGCCCGTCTGGGATCCCCTCGAGCTCCTCGAACGATTCATCGACGACGGTGGTTCAGCACAGCGCTTCGGCGTCTTCATCATCTCTCTCGCCTTCGCCCTCGCCCAGCTCGGCACCAACATCGCCGCCAACTCCGTGTCCGCCGGCACGGACATGACGGCGCTGCTCCCGCGCTTCCTCAACATCCGCCGTGGCGGCTACATCTGTGCGGCGGTCGGCCTCGCCATGTGCCCCTACACGCTGCTGACGGACAGCAACCAGTTCACGACCTACCTGTCCTCGTACTCGGTCTTCTTGTCTAGCATCGCCGGCGTCATGTGCTGCGACTACTACTTCGTTCGCAAGGGCTACCTCGAGATCAAGGAGCTGTACGACGCGCGCAAGACGGGCCCCTACTACTACACCTACGGCGTGCACTGGCGCGCCTACGTCGCCTACATCGCTGGCATCCTCATCAATGTCGTCGGCTTTGCCGGGGCCATCGGCCGCAAGGTGCCTGCGGGCGCGACGTACATCTACAACCTCAACTTCTTCTGCGGCTTTGGTGTTGCGGCGGCCATGTACTGGGTCTTGTGCCACTTCTTCCCCGTCCCGGCGACGAGCGATCGCTGGATGGAGGTCGGTGATGAGATTGATGATGTGCGGGTGGCGTACGATGAGAGCGCAAGCGACCATGGGGTTAGGGATGGTGCATATGAGTACAAGGGTGATGATGCGGCGAAGGTGGTTTGAGTCGGGCGCGGTGTACATCCAAAAGGGGGAGGATTCAGCCAGGGGTATTTAAGAGGCTAGAAGCGTCTACCAGAGCGATCCTGATTGAATGATTGGTTTACATGATTACATGTCACATGTCTCACCACACAGCCAAAGCGCGTGCTATCGCCACGGGCAGAAATTAACGCAGAACATACCCAGCTGTTCAAGCTTTGCGCAGAACCGTGAGATTGATTCAATTGATCACGATTATTGCCGCGAACTCAACGCGTCTGTCTGGGCGACCTCCCAAACTTGGACGCGTAAAGTGGATGCAGGACCCAGGTCTCTTTTCAGGCCTGGCCAGGGCGGTGCTCTCCAGCCCCAGCACTGTGATTGGGGAGATGGCCACTCACAGCCACATCGGAAGCTGTTTAACCAATTGCACAGGCACCTTTGCTGTCAAGGGTTCGCCAAATTATGTGACATGACGTGTGCGGGGGACTGCCCGAATGCGAACTTCCTGCGCTCTTTGCATCCTTATCAAGTGTGTTCTGCCTACAAGTACCCGGAGAGCCTTGAGCTTTGTTTGTTTATCAAGGTCTCTACGGCATGGCCTCCTTGTAATGGCCTCGCCCAGGCCACCGAGCTGGCCCTAGAATGATCGAGGCATTTTGTACGCCGCGTCTATAAGATGCCATTGAGAGCACAACCGCGCCGTTTCCAGGGCAATCGTTCTGGCTCTGTCGACCCTTCACATGTGCAGCCTCTTGATTCACATGGTTGATTTGCACCGAAGCAAGCTATGGATCCCTTATCAATAACAGCAGCTGCATTAGGATTTGCGGGCGTCTGCACGTGCATACTGCGGAACATCAAGGACACGATATCACGACTCCAGGATGTGCCGCAGAGCCTGTCGAACTTGGAGCGTGGGATCGGATTGACGGTCGCGGTCCTCTCCGAAGTGGACAGGATGCTCCGAGCCAATCGCGATATGTCGACGCCGATACCACAGGAGCAGCGGATTGTGTACTTCCTTGGTGGTTGCCAGCACACTCTGCAGGGTCTCCAATTAGAGCTAGAAGGCATGATTGGGCTTGAGAGCTGGACGAAAGCTGCGGTCATGTGGAGGGAGGATGAGATATCACGAATGCTTGTTAGCCTGGAGCAGGAAAAGCAAAGTCTGAATATCATTGTGGGAATATTGAACACGTGAGTTTTGCCCAAGTGGTGCCTCTTAGAGAGTGATGACTGACTGGTCGGCATTCAGGAGATCAATTGATGAGACCAACAGGTCCCTCGGAAGGATGCAAGCCTCCATCGACAACCTAAATGAGCGCCTGTCCGGCTCTATAATAACTCCTGAAAACCGTGTATTCCCGCATAGAGAGCTGGTACAATCCCCTCGAATGGACGATGACACGACTCTCGTTGAGACCACGCCCAGCCGTGAATCGTCACCAAGCTCCACTGAGTTTCCTTTTGACGAAGAGATAGTGAATACAAAGGTATATAGGAAGGCATTAGCAAGGTTAAGTCGTGGGAGAAAGCGTCGTTTATCTTCAAGCAGTGTATTAACTGCCAATCCTCTCGCACGTGCTCCTCTAGGAGAAGTGCAGAACCAGTCCCATGGCACAGCAAATAAAGCGGTGACTCGAGCCGATGGTGATCGGCCAAGCAAGAAGCGGAAGGGGGACGAGACAGAGAATATGCTCGGATATTTCGAAGACTATATTCATATATTCGAAGATTACCAAATATAACACGGCATGGCTGCGGGGGAAAAAAAGCATATATCGCGCGTCCTCGTAGGACTGTTACTCTAAGACATTGGCGTCGTTTGAAGGAAAGTGATTGGAAAATGATTTTCAGCCTGAGCCCGACATCATCGGCGATGCCGGCATCGTGTCATCGTGAAAGTTATCTTGACATCACATTGGAGGTCCTCAGTTACCCAAGTCCATTAACACTGGAAACTTACTAATGCTTCATGACGCCGCCCCTTTCGCTAAAGCTCTCTCCCACACTCGCAGAGTGTGTTCCCAGACCTTCTCTGCCCATCCCCGTTCTTGATAATATTTGAGCGCACTATTGGCCGGGACAACCTCATTGAGCCTATTGGCTTGCCATGATCCCGGCTTATAAATGTCACTCGTTAGGTAGAACGCGTGTCTCTCGCTTGACTCCTCCAGAGACATTCCGCGGTTCTGCATCCACCAGCCAGTCACGATCTGCACCAGAGACACGAATGCCCACCAGAAAAAGCCGTCTTTCATTCGGGGCCGGTGCTCTTCTGTCCGAGGCGTCCCTGTTTTGACCCATCTGGGAGTGTCATGTATGAAGGTGACTTGCTTTCCGCTGTCGCTCGCCGCTAGATGGTCAAATGCAAGGTCATTGCACATGGTTGTATGGTTCATAGAGCCCACAATTGTCCATCGCCGGTCAAGACCAAGGTCGTGTTCGTCAATATGCACTTCTCTGGTAGCATTCATAATGGAAAGAACTCGCGGCTGTGCCGATTGACGTAGAAGTGGAAGAAGGTTTGATACGAGCCGCAGTCGACAATAGTACCACAAAGACATGGAGAGCTCGAGCCCTTCATCCGTGTCTATCTTAGATATTAGCTCTTGATGGTTGTCAAACGTAGCGGCACGAAACACGAGACGACACATACACGTAGCACCGCGAAAAGGCATGCCACCTTGGCTCATGCACAAGCAATCCACCTTGTCCTCAGCAGAGGCGATCTGCTCACATGCAGAGTCCATGTCGGAAAGCAAGGAAACCTGGCACTCGATAAATACTATCTTGCAGCTAGGAGAAAGTGCCCGTAGTTCCTCGAGGCGGGTTGCAAACTTGGACTGTGACCTCCCCAAAATATAGAATGTTGATGAATGCAGCATGTACAACATCTTTCGAATAGTACCAAAGCCAATGCCGCTAGTCGCACCACTAAAGACGCACACACGCCCCATATGGTGCTGAGAAGTGAAGCGAGCAATGTGCTCTTTGACGCTGGCGATGACTACCATTTTCCAAGAGTCAGATGGTAGTTCGAGAATGCTTACAACGTCATATCAAGAAAAAGAGATCATTTTTGAAAGTTTCAATAAAATTCATAGATCCGGGAATTCCGGGATCGATTGATGATCATACGAAATAGGTATGTCGTAACTGCCTAGGTAGGATTGATTATACGCCAAAGGACCAGCGTATAGTAATGCTATGCGTTCGCATCCATTGTGCTGCTGACCTAATCGCACTTGCAAGGTCCACCTGGCCAAATTGAGGTAGCGTATACTACTCGGCCACCTCGTAACACAACTAACGCATGTTTGAATTGAAGATATCATCAGCGCCATCAGCGCTACAGGCATTGCAATGACCAGGCAAAGGACCAAATTTATTGTAATTTTAACTGGGTGAGTTTATGACATTCACAGGATGGCACACCGTAATCCATTCTCCCGATGATTCGACTGTCCTGAATCGCCAAGCACGTCCCATTTGGCAATGTCAAATCGAATAAGAGGCCAGGAATTCGATACACAAACGCTTTTCCCGGGCTCGGTCGTTCCCAAGCTGACAAACGAAACAACGATCGTTGACCACAACTTTTGCAAAATATCCGAACGAGTCCCTCGATATCTTTATGACTCTGATCTGGTCTTCGGTACCATTCTGCTTCAGCCGCAGCAGCCTCTATGCGGGATAGTTTGGTTGCGTCTTCCCGTTTGTCCAACTGGAGGGCTTTCATCAATTTTTGCAAGACATTTAGTAGTTCTCGCTCTGGTATGTATGGGTTTCCGACTATACTATCGAGGTCCTCAAGCATGCCATTTAGGTGTTCGTAGTCATATCCTAGCACAAGCCTTTCTGGAGGCTGATCAAGGTCCTCTAAGGCGTATTGCCCCTTCTTAGAGCCAGCTGGCAATACACGATCGATTGTTGCGCAAAATTGGCGGGCATTTGTTCCAGTAGAGTTGAAAATGTGCTTAGCAACATGACAAAGGACCAGTACTGGTTTCGACTCCTTGAAGTCATAGTATTCAAAATCCTCAAGACATCCGACTTTCTCAAGCTCTGGTTTGAGCTCTCCATCCCGGATAATAGTAGAATGCCTTGCCTTTTGACGACATGCTCCGAGGTTCCACACGTTGGGCGTGAACTGTGAGTAACCTCGAAGCCAAGAGGCCCTAGGCTCTATCGTCTCCTCCGGTGGGAGTGTAAGAAGCAGAGGAGTATAGTCGCCACTCTTCAAGCTCTGCCAAGCAATTGACATATAAGACCCAAAATTGTCCCCAGACATGATAGTTGCGACCTCACTCTTGTCCTGGCGCAATCCGAGCATGGCACGAAGGCCAAAGTACTGATCGCTAGCGTCCCGGCATGATTTCTGTCCGAGGATATACACAGCGCTTCCGAAGGTGTGACTTCCCACTTCCTCCTTCCAGAGCTCTGTGTCCATCCATGAGATAGCCTGGTCCCATCTATAGCCCCAAAATCTACAGTCCGCACTAAACTTATCGACGCCACTCCGTGCCGTGAAGTCGGCATTGTTTTGTTCCACCTGATGGCAGAGCTCTTTAGCGGAGAGCTCAAACACTTTGAAATCTTCGGTAAGGACTTGCACTTCTCTGCCTTGGATATACTCTAGCGTCACCCACATCCGACTAAACCAACGCGACCGGGTAAGTTTAGCAACAGCGTTCATGTAGTCACTGTAGTCAACTCCTTTATTGACATGGTCGAGACTTTGGATTCGTACATCATCTAAGTGCATAACCATCATTTTCGGATAAGAGTAAATGCTAGGTATTGCCAGAAGAAGCTGCTGGTGAATCTCCTTGTGCCACTGAGGAACACTCATGTAATCGTGCCATATCTCTATGTTGCCATACTTCTGCTTCAAAGCAAGTAATGTTCTCATCGAAGTGTTGTAAGCAAGCCTTGTTGCGTCTAGTGTTTCAACTTCTTTTTGTTGGGAGCTTGAAATTACGTCGTGCCAGGCATGTGAAACTGGAATATAATTAACCTTCTCTTGTTGAATACAATCAAGATGTCGATTGAATATCCGGACTGCGTAGGGCGAGGTACGTGTATCTGCGGTTTCCGCCTCCATATTGTGGCTGGTTTCAATAGCGAACTTTCGAACCGGAGGTCGATTGTCAATATCAAAATTCTGATTGCAGACCATGCAGCTTGTGTCCAAGCCATGTCTCCAAATGTGTGTGAGGTAATTTGATTCGCATAGCGTTTGTTTCTGCTTCCCAACATACAGAGTGACTAATGGCTCAAGCATAGCTTCATGGTCATTGTTTTCGATTTCCAAGCGCGCCATTATCGTTGAAAATTGAACAATTTGCCCAAGGCCTTGTTCGGACTGCCGGTTTTGGGTGACTTCAACAGGACTGCTTACATCACTCAGCAGAGTTAGTAGAGATCGATCCGGTTCGGGATCACTTGTTAATTGAGAGAAACAGCGTTTTTGCTTCCTTCCGTAGGTCTCGTGAAAAGCCTCGGCGGGATTTATCATTGTATCGGGCATTGTGGCGCTTTTCTAGGCCTGAAATGGACAATGGCCTGGCTGCTACCGTCGACGATATACGATATGTCACATTGATATGAATTGTGTGGGCGTGGAATTGAAATTCTCTCGTGTGTCCTTGGCTTGCGCGAAATGAGATCTACGTTTGCATGGTTGTAAAGCGTTACCTCCGTCTGATCACGGCAGTTTCTTGTATATTCAAAACCTCATTTAATCCTTTTGGTAGTAACCCACCTTGAACGAAGCAGTTCTCACCGCACTTTATGTGGTATGGCTTTTGCGCCATGCATAAGACGCTCTATTAGGCAGACAATCCGGGATGGTAGAGCCTTGCAGTCTGCTACCTAAATAACAACCTATCGACCATCGCGACGGGATATAAGATTGGTGATAAGTTAACCCAAAGGGTCAATTGCAAATGCAGTTCAGAAGTCACGGAGGGTTAGTTCAAACGCATTATTGCAATGGTTCACTAAGCTGGGCAAACATACGCATTTCTCAACTACGAAGTTACGTACCCGATGAACACACCTGTGGTTGGCTCTCATGTTTGTAATCCACCAACCCCGCCCACCAAGGCAACTCATTGAGGTGTCTGAGCGTAGGCTGCATAACTGGGTAATAAGTGAGCGTTGATACCCCATACCAGATCGTCCATAGGTCAAATGCCATGAATGTTTCAATCCCTAAAGTCTTTTCTCATATCAGTGAGAAAAAACTCGAGCTCCTCGGCGGTCCATTGGAGTCCACTTGTGTAAAGGGCCAAGCTCAATCCAGATATCCCATCGCAGAGGTTGTGAAGACAGCATATCCCTAACGACAGTTTGTTAGTATCCTCTGGTGTAACTTGTTTGTGCCCACGAGTGTGTTTACCCATGTCCTTATGACTCTTATCTTTGGGCCATGTGTGAACCCCCCCCTCCGTGGCGGTGAGTTGCTCTTTGTAATGGAGTGCGCTGTCTAATGGCCGCTTAAGGATATGGCTAGCCTCAAGGGACTTGTCAGTCCACTTCTTGATTGCTGCGTCTTGATTCACCGTGCCATCTTCGCTTTCTATCGGGGAAAAGAATATCGGCAACCTCTACCCAGCCTTTTGGGTTGAGATGCCTGAAAACTGAGATTAGCTGAATCCTTCAAAGTGCTAAAGTTCAACCCCAACGTTACTCAAAGCATTATTGGAAGGATTTGGGTTAATTTGATAGTGAGCCTGTCAGCATACAGCCGTAAATCAAGTCGAATTTGGTTTCGTATGTCCAACTCTCTTCAAGATCGTCAACAAAAGAATGATGGGTTCGGTGGAACGCTAAGAAAGGTTAGTGTTGATGCCTGAGTAGGTCACATAGATAGCAGAAGCTTACAACGCCAGTTGTATAGGACTCAAGTCAACTTCCACGACCTAGCACTATCAGCGGTTGGACTGAAACACGTTTGAGTACGCTTCTGGATGTTCATCGGCTAAGAAGTGCAACAAGGGCCCCTGTGGTCATCCCAAGTTCTTAAGAATCCGAAGCGTAGTGATGGGTAACATACCAAAGCCAGGAGCCCAAATCCCTTTCCCTGTGCCGGCATCGAGCACTCGGTGTGATTGCTTGTCCTGGCCCGCGGGCCATATGTATAGTTTGGCATCGACGGCTAGTGTGAAAAGATGGTGCTGAAGGTCTGTTTTGTGGCACATTAGGCTCATAGGTTTCGATACATCAATGCGGAGAAGCTTCAACTCGCCTAACCGCTCGTTTTCAGCCTTGACGAGTGAATGTCAACAGCAACTCTGAAATCTTCGTGGGTCGCTGAGTGTTGCTTGTCTACCTCGTCATTGGGCAACACGTATTTTGCATAAAAGCCTTGTCAGGAGTTTTGACGAAGAACGACCTGTTTACTTACGCCCATCTTTGTAGGCATGATATGTGCGACCATTCTCCTGACGATATTGCATGATGCTGGAGGTGGTGGACTGTGTTGCGCTGCTCGCACCCTGGACGTGATCCAAGAGATCTGATTAGCGTGCGGCGAGCATACCGGCGCCGTGTCGCCGGAAGACCAAGGGCGGCAATGCCATGAAAGAAGTACGCACCACGTTCAAAGCAGAATCGCTATCGTCAATCACATCTCCGCCCTGGAGCATACGAAACGCGCGTTAGATCTGAAGTTCGTGGGTCCATAGATTGTCACTGTGCTGCAGGGAGAATTAGTGGGACGGATGGGGACAAGGGACGGGCCTTACCGCGTCGGCGTCAACAGCCACCATCTAGAAATCATCTTCGGTGGGGACCAATCGTCGTTACATTGCACCGTAGACTAGAACGGATGCATCGCTAGCCGATGTGCCATTCTCATGAACTTTACCCCGGCTGGCAAGACTCTTCGTGGGCCCCTCCGTCCCGCCAGGCTTTGACAAGATGGAACCCCGCTGCTAACAAGCCGTCGTCTTCGCGTGCACCGGGGGACAAGCCCATGGACCCCCGCCAGCACTATGATTCGGCGGGTGTTCGCTCTTGCATGCTGAATCCAGGCCAACGCACCGGAGGCCCAGACCCAACCGGGAACAGGATGATAGTCAGCAGCTGCAGGTCACGGCAAGCCCGTCTACTTGGGTAGGCAAGTAAGTAGGTAACAGTGGTAAGTCACGCATCTCAGGTAGTCAACGCTGTAATTACCGTGAAAGTCAGATACCGGACAGGGACGCCTGAATTGCATTGAGGACTCCGCTGCTGCAGGCTCACCTCCACCTCACTTTAACGTTACCAAACAACCTGACACTCTTGTCGATCGGTGACGGGAAGGAAAGGAGCAGGTAATTTGTCTGCAGGTCTCTCGTCGCACGCCATGACTGTGTTACCTGAGAACCTCAGCGGGCTTCTCAGCCGCATCCAAACGACAGCATTGATCGGCTCAATCCTGGCGGCGATCATCGCTTCGGTGGTCTTATCTACGCTGAGGCAGTATTACCGCCTCCGACATATCAAGGGCCCAGCCTCCGCAGGCTTCTCAAGATGGTGGCTACTGTCCATGTCACTGGCGGTCGCATGCATCTAGATCTCTACGATGTCTGCCAGAGATACGGTATGTCCTGTTTACAGCAGCATTTCTTTCAGGGACAGTCACGCTGACGTGCGGCGCATTCTGGCGCCTCTACAGGGGATATTGTGCGCATTGGACCGAATGAGCTTGTCACCAGCGATCCACGCCTCGTGAAACGAATGCTCAGTGTCCGCAGTCCGTACAAGCGTGCGTACTGGTATTACGCCATGCGCTTTGATCCCAGCCGAGACAACGTCCTGTCCATGAGAGAGGATGCACAGCACAACGCGCTCCGCGCGAAGATGGCCCACGGCGTAAGCAGCATGAACCCTTGGCCCGTGCCGTAACCCCCTGATACACCACTGACCGACGACGATAACAGTATTCTGGCAAAGAGGTTGAGAATCTCGAGTCTTGCATCGATGGGAATGTTCGGTTACTCATCCGGCTTATCGAGAAGTATGTTGCTGAGAATAAGGAGTTCGACGTTGGTCGCAAGGCGCAATTCTTCACTCTCGATGTCATCTCAAACATTGCCTTTGGAAAAGCTTTCGGGTTTCTTAGCAGCGATTCGGATCTCTTCAAGTACTGCCAGACATTTGAAGAGCAGATGCCCGGCATCATCACGACCACCATCTACCCGTGGCTCGTTAATGTTCTGCAATGGCCAATCATTAAGAGCGCGATGCCGTCCGATAAGGACCCCATCGGCTTCGGCAGGATCATTGGGTGTGTTCTCATCGCGTCTTCTCTTCCGACCACTTCAGCTAACGTTAACCCTACCATAGAATTGCACGACAAGTTGCCGACGAAAGATATCGACCCGACGCAAAAGTGCAGAAGGATATGCTTGGCTCATTCATAGCCCATGGCCTCTCACGTGAGGACGGCGAGTCTGAGACTCTTCTGCAGATGTATGCTGCTATCTCATAATCCCTGGGGAGAATTCGTACCCTCTAAGCGTCTCATAGCATCGCCGGATCGGACACGACAGCCACGGCTGTGCGTGCTACAATGCTATATGTCATGACAAACACACGTGTGATCAACGCCCTCCGGGCCGAAATGGAGTCTCTCGGAACAGTGACGTCGGAATCGATCATCAGCGACGCCCAGGCGCGCACGATGCCCTATCTTCAAGCAGTCATCAAGGAAGGCCTGCGTATTCATCCGACCGTCGTAGGCTTACAGCCCAAGGAAGTGCCCGCCGGCGGCGACGTATGGAACGGAGTCGCGCTGCCTGCAGGGACTGACATCGGTATTTGCTACTGGGGCTTCATGCGGCGACCAGAGATCTGGGGAGAGGATGCGGCAGAGTTCCGTCCGGAGCGATGGCTCGATTCGCCGCCGGAACGCTTGCGCGAGATGGAGTCTACATGGGAGCTGGTATTTGGGCATGGGCGGTGGCAGTGTCTGGGCAAGAATGTCGCGCTCATGGAGCTGAACAAGGTCTTTGTTGAGGTGAGTCGACGCCGGTCCTGCTGCAACCTTGAGCGTGCTTGATGCTGACATGTGTCTCACTTAGCTATTCCGGCGCTTTGATTTTGCTTTGGTGAACCCTACTGATCCATGGAGATCATTTAATGCTGGTGTTTTCATTCAGCGTGACTTCTGGATAAAGGCCTATCAACGAGATTATTAATTGCTATGTTACACGATAAGTCTGACTTTCTCGTAGTCTGTACTAATTAGATTAGAATTCTGCTGGGATGCTTAGCTGAAACCCGTAGAATGCGCCGTAGATGTGTTGGGATATCGCCGCGCCTTCCCTATGACGTCAGCGCTGCCTTAACGAGTGCAATAAGGAAGGAGCTTCCATAAGACCTCCAGTCGGAGAAGGAAAGCGCGACCGAGTGAGCTCCGGTGAAACTGAGTCTGCAAGTGAACCTTGGAAGATGGTAGGTTTATTACTCTCCATCGAGAACAACAGGTAGTAAACGTAATGAACGAAAACACTCTTTCACGCAGAAAAATCAGGAAAGGTAACAAACGGGTACCAAGTCAGACTCAATTGACAAATCACTATAGGTATCATAAACAATGTACCGTACGCCCCTCAACCAACGCCTGCCTTATGCACAAGGATGAATCTCGAGCGAACCAAGCGATAACGACTCCAGCTCCCTCACATCCTCCACGTTGGTGCCAGCCTAAGCATTGTCGCCAGCCTGAGCACGAGCCGCAACCATGAGCTACATTGTTGTTAGTAACAGAATGAGTAGTGTACATGTAGATACAGCTTACCACATCGTACGAGACTCTGAGCATCACACAGAGGGTGCGAACGACGCCTGTAACAGGTCGCAGTGCATCCAGCTCCGCCTGTAGAGTCTGAATCTGATCATTCAGGTCCTCAATCTGCGCTTCGTGATCCTCGACAGTGGACTCCATGTCCTTGACATTGTTGCCCACCTCCAAGACCTCATTGTCGAGTGACTGCAGGCGTGAGTAGTCATGATTAACCTCGTCTCGAATCTCGCCAATGGTGTTATTGATCAGGGTAACATCGACATCGGTGCCATCCGCACGATCGATGGCAGCGTTAGCAGCCCGGGATGCCTTTGCGGCAGCAGTCTTCACTCCGTCCACGGTTGCCATCATTCCATTCATGGTAGTCTTCTCTCCCTTAACAATAGTCTTGACATCATCCATGGTGGACTTCACGCCATCCATGACAGCCTTCACGCCATTGATCTGGCCTTCCAAAGTGGCGATAGAGGCCACAATTAGAGCAGTAGATTCGGTAGCGTTCGTGGCTCGGACAGCAGCCATGGCCTGGTCGGAGGCGACGGGACCAGCTCGGTCAATCGCGAAGCGGGTGATATCCTGGATGGTCAGGCTATCAATACCGGAAGTGAGATGTCCCTGTATTCAGTCAGCAGGGGAGACCAGCTGGTAAGTTCATCATCGGAAAGTGACTTTAGTTTGATTTGAAAAGGTTCTCGCGTGGCACGATTTGGTCATATTTCGAGTCTTCTTTGCTCTCCAATCCACCGGGTTCTCGCAGAGCCTGGCAGTTGCCCAAAGCTCCGTGCCAAGCTCAAATGATCCCCCCCAGTTCAGGACCCCATAAAGTATCCACACCGTAGAAATGATCCAGCCAAACCATCGCGTTGGGCTGTCCCCGAAGGGAAGGTATCGGAGCTCTTCAAACAGGCAACCAAGTCCAAGGCCCTTCTTGATGAAGTTGCTCTTCTTCGTGAGTTTGAAGAGGAAGAACAAGCTCCACCAAGAAGAACCAAGCCACACAAGGTGGCACCAGGTGCTCATAGAGCAATGAGAACCTGGCTGCTAGAATTCGCCAGATAGTACGAATTGTAGCGAGTGACAAGGCTTCGCGAACCCTTGATGAGCCCCTGAGATTAGTCTCTGTCGCTTGGACTAGTGCTTGGCGACAGAGACAATGGAGGATCTCGGTTTGGGCCCCCGAACGCGCGTGGGAAAGCGGTTTTACGCCTGTAAAGAAGAGGTGTCGCAAAGGGAAATAGACTCGACCGATGTCTGAATACAGTACAATTGAATGAAATGGTGAAGAACTTACCAGGTCTGGGGTGCCGTTGGCTGAGTTGTCGTCCGCCTGGTGCGTGGCGCCAGGGCGCTTGTGTTTCATAGAGCCGGGCATCTGCGAAATTGTTTAATCAGTATCTAAGATCAACATAAAAGCAATCATAAGAGGTAGCATTGGAATACCAGGGTGATAATGAGACGGTGAACGATTCGGTGAAGGTCAGACTTGAAAGAGGTCGAAGTTGGAGGACGGTAAGATCGAGAGAAAAGGTGATGGAAGAAGGCTGATGAAAATTTTGTTTGCGGTATGGGTGTGGGTAAAGGTGGTGCCTGGGAGAAGATCGGGAATGAGGTTACTGATCACGTGTGGAGAGCATGTGGAATGCTGACTACCTGGGAAGATACACGCGTGGGAAAGAGCTGGAGCCAGTGCGTTTATTACGTGTGTGAGATGGAGCTTGGGACGTTGATTACATACGTAAGAGGAATGACGAGTAGGTAAGGAGAGAGATCGGGAAGTTGATTACCTGGGGTATGTGGAAGTGTTGGAAAGTAAGGAAGGTATGGGTAAATAACTGGGAGAGAAGGTAGGTAACTGGTAAAGAAGGTAAATAACTGGGAAGAAGGTAGGCAACTGGGAAAG